CAAGGGGCTGGGAAAGTTGCTCAGTGGTAGAGTGCTTGCCTTGCATGCATGAGGCCTTGGACTCGATTCCTCAGCACCACATAAGCAGAAAAAGCCAGAAGTGCTGTGGCTCGAGTGATAGAGCGCTAGCTTTGAGCTGAAGAGCTGAGGGACAGCACTCAGGCCCAGAGTTCAGGCCCCATGATTGGGAAAAATAAGTAAAGCTGCAAGTGGAGGTGTGGCTTAAGTAGTAGAGAGTAACAGCCTTAAGCAAAAAAAGCTCAGGGACAATTCCCTGTCCCAGAGGTCAAGCCCCAGTACGAGCACACACACAAAGATGTAATAATTTGATGAAATAAATGTCCTTTCATAGCTACAAGTCTGACAATGTTTTTTGCATGAAAGATATGTCATTGGATGATAGCCAGATAGTTGCCAGATTCTACTTTTTCCATGGTTGCAGTAACCCATTTTTGTCGAACATGATGCTTATACCACCCCTCCTATCTACCGGCAGAAGTTCTAACTGCAGAACCTTGGGTTGATGTCCTGTTGACCATCTCAAATTCAGTATGTCCCAAACTTAAACTTTGCCTTCTGCATCCGACTTTTCCTATGTCTCTATTCAAGTGAGTATACCAAGTGCAGCTGTAGATGACGTTCATTCCTTTGAAAAACCTAAATGCTTTTATCTCTTTCTAATCAGTTCCAATCCCTCAGTCCCTCAACGTTTAAACTTGGACTGTGTCTCAGTTGATAGAACACCTGCCTAGCAAGTGTGAGCCCCTGAGTTTAAACCTCAAATATTACTTTATATACTTTACAGTGCCTTGGAAGACCCTTTTTAAGAATTATTGTCGGGGCTGGGAGGGTAGCTCAGTGGTAGAGTGCTTGCCTGGCCTTCATGAGGCTCTGGATTCGATTCCTCAGCACCACATAAGCAAAAAAAGCCAAAAGTGCTGTGGCTCAAGTGGTAGAGCCCTAGCCTTGAGCTGAAGAGCTGAGGGACAGCACCCAGACCCAGAGTTCAAGCCCCACGACCGACCAAAAAAAAAAAGTTATGGGGCTGGGAAGGTGGCTCAGTGGTAGAGCACTTGCCTTGCATGCATGAGGCCCTGGGTTCGATTTCTCAGCACCACATAAGCAAAAAGAAAAAAGCCGGAAGTGGCACTGTGGATCAAATGGTAGAGCGCTAGCCTTGAGCTGAAGAGCTGAGGGACAGTGCCCAGGCCCAGAGTTCAGGCCCCACAACCGAACCCCCCCCCCAAAAAAAGTTATTGTCAGCAATGATAACAAAAAAAAAACATTTGTTTTCTGCTTGTTGGGATTCTGTTTTTGGATTTTTTCATACCAGTTTTTTCCTGCCTTATGTTTGTGGTATTTCCTGAGGCAAACAAGGTCCCCCTTTTGGGTATTTAGTGGAGAAGACCCCATTTGTATTAGAAAATGTGAGGTTTTGTACAATGCACCTACCAGTCATACTACTGAGTTGGACCCTTCCTATTTTCCAATATGGTGACGTATTATGAGCACTTATTATACTGGGTAAAGGTGGAAGGAGATGGCTCTTGTCTGGACTAGAGAGTAAAGGACTTAAGAGGGACTCTTAAGAGCTAATTCCTGTCCTTGAGAAAGGCAGTGTGCCATTGGAGTGCACGCAGTCCCTGATGCTGGTTGCATTGCAATTCTAGACAGTGGTTCTGGCAGTTGGTCCCTTGCAGAAAAGCAGAAGTTAGGAAGGAGCACTTGCTTACTCGTCCTAATTAGTGTGCCCAGCACACCCTGGACCCGGCACTGCTCCAGCAGACCTTGGGAACTGGAACTGGTTGTTACAAAGAAGATCCTGGAGCTGATGCTCCGTGGTCTGTCCAGAGTCCACGCATGGATCCAGCTGTGTAGAAAATGTCAAGCACCCCTCCCCCCCCCCCCTGCCCATTCTCCAGTATATTCTACATGAGGCTTTTCAGAATCTTTAAGTCATTAGAGCATGAAGTCTTGGTAAGCTTGTGGTCACAAAGCAGAGGTGAAACAGGCTTCAACCACCTTCGAGCAGGCTAAGGCTCCAGTGCTTAAGCATCACCCCACTGTCTTTCCTCTAGCTAATTTCCTGTCCCGGCCAGCTAGTTCCTTGATCCTTCCTCTTGACTTTTGCCTAAGTGTAACCACTGATCACTCACTGCCGTAAAACCTTGTTCTTCCCTGCCATTTGAACATTTTCCTTTTTCTTTTTTTTTTGGTCCAGTCGTGGGGCCTGAACTCTGGGCCTGGGCGCTGTCCCTCAGCTCTTCAGCTCAAGGCTAGCGCTCTACCACTTGAGCCACAGCACCACTTCCGGCTTTTTTTCTTTTTGCTTATGTGGTGCTGAGGAATCGAACCCAGGGCCTTAGGCATGCAAGGCAAGCACTCTACCACTGAGCCACCTTCCCAGCCCTCCTTTTTCTTTCTTTCTTTCTTTTTTTTCTGGTTGTAGGGCTTGAACTCAGGGCCTGGGTGCTGTCCCTGAGCCTCTGTGCTCAAGGGGAGCTCTCTACCACTTTTAGCCACAGCTCCACTTCTGGTTTTGTGGTTAATTAGAGATAAGAGTCACAGACTTTCCTGCCTGGGCTGGCTTTGAAAGGAGATCCTCAGATCTCAGCTTCCTGAGCAGCTAAATTACAAGCATTAGCCACCAGTGCTTCCCAAGTCTTCCCTTTTCTATGTGTTCATTCTCTTTTTGTTGTTGTTGGTGGTGGTGGTTATGGGGCTTGAATTCAGAGCTTTGTCACTGTCGCTGAGCTCTTTCACTCAGTGCTAGGGCTCTACCACTTTGAGCCACAGCCCTACTTCTGGTTTTTGAGTGATTAATTGGAGGTAAGAGTCTCTTGGGGACTTTTGTGCCAGATCTGGCTTTGAACCATGATTCTCAGATTTCAGCCTCCTGAGTAGCTAGGATTACAGGTGGGAGCCACTGCACTCATTGTCCTTTCTACTTTTCCTTTCTTTTTTGCTTCTCTTACCACACCTTAAGGGTCAGGGTGCAGTTCACCAAATTCCACTTTGAGGGCCCTGTTGGAGGACACACAGGCTCTAGAAAAGTATAATTGCTTACTTCATGTCCCCAGCATTAAAAAACAAGCATGATTTGTTAGATCAGAACTGGTACAATCTGGAGAAAGGCTCTCTAACCCATAACCCAATCTTAGTATGGCCAGGCTACCTTCTTCAGATCTGCTGAAGCGTTTGCAGGAGGGAGCATCGGCTGAGGGCGCTGAGTTGCTAGCTCCCTAGGCTACAGACTTTGACCTTGACCAAATCACATTCACCAAAGACTTCCTTATGTCTCTTAATAAAATGGAAACCATAATTCTCACCTCCCTGCCTCACAAGGTCATTACAAGAATCAAATATGGAAAGTGCTTTGTGAATGAAAGTGAATCAGATAAACTACTTAGCTATTGCACCATAACCTATGTATTTAACTGTGGAGCACCAGTTTCATGACTGCTACTGCTAGGCATTGGAGCCACACAAACAAGAAAGTCTGGGTTTTTTCCTTTAACAAACTCAAGCCAGATGGTATTTTTAGGAGATAGGGTAGGACCCTGGGCCTGAAGACTCAGGAGTAGAAATGTCTCAAGGAAGTTTGTGGTCGGGCTGCAGATCAGTGTTGAGGATGGAGTGGCAGAGGGACAATAGCAATCTCAAGATGCCATGGCCTGGCAGAGTGCCCTGGATTTTCCTCAGCCCTGGGCAGCCCCAAGGGGAGGATGAAGAAGCTCAAATGCTCCATCCACGAAGGGGAGGGAGCTGCCGAATCGTGGGTAGGCTCCCCACAAAGCCTGGAGCCTTGTCAGCCCTTCTCCCGCACTGGAAAGGAAACCACAGCAAACCAGGTCAGTGTGTGTGGCTCACTGCGCCAGGGCTCGGCTATGAGTTGTGGGGTTTCCTGAGCAGATTGCACCAATGAGTAGGGCTTTGAAGCTGATGACCTCTTTGCATGGGACCCTTTGCCCAGGAGAGCCCAACAGGCTAAATGGGGGCGGTCAGCCAGGTCGGAGTGGGGGCTAGGATACATGTGGGAGTATATGAGGTTCATGTATTTAAATTTTTCCCCCTTTCCTGCACATCAGTCCCTGGGTAGAATGGTGTTTTGTAGCTTGATTAATTGTCTTAAGTGAGGGGATGACATTATTTCTAAGGGAAACCTGGGGGGGGGGGGGACCAGATCTGTAGGGTGTTTCAGGAGTGGGAAAGGTTAAGAAAGGGGTGCACCTAACGCTGGGCGCTGGTGGCTCACACCTGTAATCCTAGCTGCGTGCGGCTGAGATCTGAGCACTGCCATTCAAAGCCAGCTCCTGCAGGGAAGTCCAAAAGACTTTTTTTTTTTTTTTTTTGCCAGTCATGGGGGCTGAATTCAGTCTGGGCGCTGTCCCTCAGCTCTTCAGCTCAAGGCTAGCACTCTACCACTGGAGCCACAGTGCCACTTCCAGCTTTTTCTGTTGATGTGGTGCTGAGGAATCGAACCCAGGGCCTCATGCATGCAAGGCAAGCACTGTACCACTGAGCCACCTTCCTAGCCACCCCTCCTCGAGACTCTTATTTCCAACAAACCACTCAGAAAATCAGAAGTGGCGCTGTGGCTCAAGTGGTAGAGCACTAGCCTTGAGCTGAAAGAGCTGAGGGACAGCGCCCAGGCCCAGAGTTCAAACCCTATGACTGACCAAAATAAATAAATAAGAAATGGGTACCCCTCCCCCTCCTACTACTGGTTCCTTTCCTGTCATTTCTCTACCTGAGCAATAGCCCTTGCCTTTCGGTGGAGGCGGGAGGGTTTTCTAGAGAGCAAGCTGCCCCTCAGTCCCTCTGCCTGCATGAGGAATGTGGCCGGGCTGGCTGGTTAGGAGAGAGGAGGAGCCTTAGGGCAGGGCGGGGCCAGGACAAGATTAGGCAAGAGCTCACCACTGCCAGCTGCTCAGCCCTGAGCTGTTGCCCACTTGCAGGCTGCGAAGCCAGGCTTTGGGTGCCCTGATCCTATAAGGCCCATGGGGAGCCCCAGATTGGCAGCCCTGCTCCTGCTGCTTCTGTTATTCATTGGCCTGTCTGTCTCTGCTGGGATTGGCCGCCCTTACTAGCCACCCTGGATCCCCTCAAATGAGGTAAGGAGCCACAGCTCTCCATTCCTGCCCTGCCCTGCCCTTCCCTACCTCCCAGTCGCTGTGCTCCAGCAGCATCTTCAGGGAGACCTCAACTCCAAAGGGGTTTAAGACCAGAAGTTCTGGGCTGGGAAGGTGGCTCAGTGGTAGAGTACTTGCCTTGCATGCTTGAGGCCCTGGGTTTGATTCCTCAGCACCACATAAACAAAAAAGGCTGGAAGTGGCACTGTGGCTCAAGTGGTAGAGCACTAGCCTTGAGCTGAAGAGCTGAGGGACAGTGTCTAGGCCTAGAGTTCAGGCCCCACGACTGACAAAAAAAGAAGTCTCAGGGACTTTTCTGCCCAAGCTGGCTTTGAACCATAATCCTTAGATATCAGCTTCCTGAGTAGCTAGGATTAATGCAGGTGTGAGTCACCAGCATGTGGTGGATTCCCTGAGTGTGCTGTTATTACTTTGTTTGTAGAGTAGGATCTTGGTATTCAACTCTGTGTTTTTATCACCTCACTTAGTTGTGTACTAAATATTCTGGTTAAGTTGGCAGTTTTGCTGGGCATGAAAGTAAACCTAGCTACTCAGAATGAAGGATCACAGTTCAAAGCCAATCAGAAAAGCAGGTGCTGAAGTAGTAGAGTGCTAGCCTTGAGCAAAAGAAGTTTAAGGACAGGACCCAGACCTTGAGTTCAAGCCTCAGGATTGGCACACACACACACACACACACACACACACACACACACACACACACGAGTTGGCAGTTTCTAAACTGTTAGAAATAAAGCTATAAAGCATATAAAAGGGAATGAGTGTATGTATTGCTTTCAATTTCATCATACATTAAAGCACTAAAGAAAATTGACATCATTATTGTCCTTGACTTAAAATGATCTTCCATTTAACATTGGGGCACATCTCCTGGTAGGGCAGAGGCGATGAAGAATTGGTAGTAAATGTGTCCTCTCCTGTCCAGGCCTTTGGTGGGGCTTGTTCTACCTCCTGGTGTAGAAATCGAAAAAGTCTTGCAAGTTCAAGTTCTATCAGAGACACAGGACGCCAGCACCTTCTCAGATACTCTCCCTGCCAGGCCCAGTCCCACCTTGTGTTCCCACCTCTCATTATATTCCTCAGCCACATAAGGGAGATTGAAAATGTGCAAATGACACATTCAAGGAAACTGAGGCCAACAAAGGTTCCTTGTGGTTCCTTGGGTTCCAGGGCAGAAATGGAAGAAGCTAGGTATCCTAATTCCTGGCCTAAGGCCATCTTTGTTCTATCCTTACAGAGAAAGCTGCTGAGTAGCCATTCTCCATCAGAGAAAGGCCGTCACATTTCCACCCCCTCCCCAGATGTCTCCCACAAGAGGCTGCGCTCCAAAAGGACCCGGCCTTCAGATCCACAAGGAGTGGGACCTCTTCCCAGACCTGGCTCACAAAAGCTCAGAGACAAGAGAGGGCTTCCTCTGAGTAGCCACACTCATCCTAAGCACACGAGACAGGCCCCCTGAGTCTCACCCCCTGCCATCCCCAGGACCTGAATTCTCCTTTGAGTTGCTGCCCATGGCACGGACTATTCCGTGACCATTTCACCAGGCCCAATGGCCAGTGTGTGTCTTTGTCACCAGTGGGCACTGGAATGTGAAGAGCTGAGCAGTCCTTTTGATGCCCAGGTATGGAGTGGCATGCTTCTGTAAAAAGTCAGATCTCTTGCTGGGTGCCAGTGGCTCATGCATGTAATCCTAGCTTCTCAGGAGGCTGAGATGTGAGGATCATGGTTCAAAGCTAGCCCAGGCAATAAAATCTGTGAAACTTTAATTAACCCCCCCCCCCAAAAAAAGAGTCAGAAATGGAGCTGTAGCTCAAGTGGTAGGATGCTGGCTTTGAACAACAACAAGAAGAAAAGCTCAGAGACAGCACTCAGGCCCTGAGTTCAAACCCCAGGACTACCTCCCCCCAAAAAAGCCAGACCTCAATACTGGCACACATGGGACAACTGAGACCTTGATGGGAAGGTCACTGTGTGAGTGACCTTCAAGGTAAGGTGTCTGCCATTACAGCTTTTGGGTGCTAAACAGAAAGAAACAGGGAGTCTCAGGAAGAGAGGAAAGAGGGGCAGTCCCTTTTGGAGTTACCAGGAATGCTGAACAGAGAGCTGCGAGGATCCTCAGCGGGTCGGGCCCTATTGGAAAACCTTCTCAGAGCGCCTCCCTAGCAAGCATGAGACCCTGTGTTCAAATACAGCCGAGACCAAAAGCCTTTGAAGTTCCAATCAGAGAGTAGAAGGTGGTCACATACGTCTTTATACCCATCCTCTGCCACCCTCCTTTTGCCTTTAGGAGAATGAAAGAACAAAATGTCTCCCAGTCCCCTGACCAGGCCCTAACAGCACTTTAATCTCCGCTTCTCAAAGCTGCTATCATTTGTGGAGACTGAAGGCTGTACGCCAGCCGTGAGGGCCCTCAGCAAGCCTCAGCTGTAACCATCACTCCACTGTGGTGCTACCATTTGATCAAGAGCTTCTAGCACCCTGCCTGGCATATACTTGGAGTTCCTCCCATCTAATTCCCCACCGCTCCACATGGAGCACCCTCAGCCAGCGTGGAGAGCCTGTGGGAGGGAGAACCTGTCCCAGCTCAGGAAAAACAGCGCACGTTGCCGAGTTCCCCACGCCCTCCTGCCCTCGCCTGTGCTTTTCCTGACGTGTCTCTGTTTCTCTTCCTTTGCTGCTTCATCTGTAGGCAGTTGTGTCTGGGGGCTGGACTGCAGACCTGCCCTATGAATTCCTTCTGCCCTGCCTGTGCATGAGGTGAGCTGGGAGAAACGTGGGGAGCCGCCCTGGCTCCTCAGCCAAGCGCATCTCCACTGAGTCAGGTTTGGAAATGACTGTGTGCACCGAGCATGCTCGAAGCTGGTTACATCTCAAACCCAAACTCAAAAGGGCTGGGGTTGCTGAGATGCTTAGGAAGGCTGGCACCCGCTTGGTTGTGAGCCACACGCGGCCAGCGGTGAAGGGACGACCCAACACTGTGCCTCGGGATGCTCCCGCCCCCAAGACCCAGCTCTTCCTGGACCTGACTGGCCTCAGTCCACAGAGGCAGAAAAAATAGCCAGCCACCACCACCAGATTCCATATATGCCCCAAGTCTTGTCCCCACCCCTGCCCAGACTCCCACTATAGTCCCCACTAGGCTGAAGTACTTAGCTTAAAGACTTCCATGAATTGCCGGGTGCCGGGTGGCTCACGCCTGTAATCCTAGCTACTCAGGAGGCTGAGATCTGAGGATCGTGGTTCAAAGCCAGCCCAGGCAGGAAAGTCTGTGAAACTCTTATCTCCAATTAACCACCAGAAAACCAGAAGTGGCGCTGTAGCTCCAGTGGTAGAGCGCTCGTGTTGAGCTGAAGAGCTGAGGGACAGCGCCCAGGCCCAGAGTTCAAGCCCCACGACCGACAAAAAAAGAAAAAAAAAAGACTTCCATGGACTACAGAATAAAAAAGGCAGAGGGCCTTGTCACTTAAGAGACCAACAGGAAGGAACACGCAGACACCTGGCACAATAAGACACTGCTCCGGTAGACAACGGGTGGGCACCTGGGCAGTCCAGAGTGAAGGGCCAACCCGGAGCTCTGGGTACCTTGGAAATGGCTGAGAGGAGAGGCCAGGAAAAGTTAACAGCTGAGGCATGTGGACCTTCGGATTCCCTCCGGAGAGAAAATGAGCCAGCTCCTCCCCTGCTGGTCTGTCCTCAGCTCTGCAGTTCCTCCCCGTCCCCACCCACATTCTACACTGCGACCCTCAGCGACCCTCAGCGTCCCGCCAGCCCGGCAGCTTGCACCACAGCAAGCTAGAGCCGCCTGTGTGCTAGGGCTGCGCAGTGAAAGCCATGCCCTGCTCCTCCCTGAATGCTTCCCCGTTCTCCGCAGGCCTCCTACCTGCAGGAGGACTCTGTGAGGCCAAAAAAGTGCTCCTTCTGGAGCTGATCTGAAGCCTGTGAGTATTGCCTGTGTACTTACACCCCCCCACCCCCCCACCCCCTCGTCAGCTGTGGGGCTTGAACTCTGGGCCTGTGAGCTGCCGCTGAGATTGTTTTGCTCAAGGACAGCAGTTCTACCACTTGAGCCTAGCACCACTTCCAGTTTTCTGGTGGTTAGTTGGAGATAAGAGTCTCATGGACTTTCCTCCCTGGCTTGGAGTAGTGATCCTCAGATCTCAGCCTCCTGAGTAGCTAGGATTACAGGTGTGAGCCATTGGCACTGTCTCCCTCCCTCCTTCCTGCCCCCTCTCTCTCCTGCTGCACATTAAACAGGAGGCTTTTCTGGAGTCAGTGGAGGAAAAGGTTGCCAGATCCACCCATCCATCAACCTGCTGCTGAGCCCAGGTGTGCTAAGCATTGTAAGACTAGGAAAGAGTCAAAAAGATGAGCTTGGCACTGGTGGCTCACACCTGTCATCCTAGCTACTCAGGAGGCTGAGATCTGAGGATCCTACTTCAAAGCCAGCCCGAGCAGGAAAGTCCGTGAAACTCTTATCTCCAGTAAACCACTAGAAAACTGGAAGTAGCGCTGCGGCTCAAGCGGTAGAACACTCACCTTGAGCTGAACTGCTGAGGGACAGCGCCCAGGTCCAGAGTTCAAGCCCCCTGACCAACCAAAAAAAAAAAAAAGATGAGACCCAGGAATTATCCAGAAACTGGGTTTACCTCTGAGCTTTCCTCCTAATTTACTTGAGCCTCTCTTCCCCTAACTGTAAAATCATTGAACTTGCCTTGGCTCATTTTCAAACTGATGGCGAGACTAGATTCCTATTCCACAGGAAAGTGGCAGTGGTGTTTGAAGTACTGCACACATGTCATCCTCAAGGACAGATGACATTCACACACAAGTGAGAAGCACAAAGCAGCCCGCAGAGCCCAGGCAGGGTTAGTGTTAAGGGCTGGCTGCAGGGCATGAAAGGGAGAAGCCAGGCAGGCTTTTATACGCAGAGAAGGACTTTCAGAAAAGCTGACACTTGAACTGGGATCAGGAAATGGACAGGATTAGAAGGGAGAGGTAAACAGACACTGGTGGCTCACATCTATAACCCTAGCTACTCAGGAGGCTGAGATCTGAGGGCTGCAGTTTGAAGCCAGCCTGTGCAGAAAAGTCTGAGACTGTTACCTTACTACTTTGCCACAGAAAAGCGGGAAGTGGAGGTATGACTGATGTGCTACAGCACCACCCTTGAGTAAAAATTCCAGATGAAAGTGTGAGGCCCTGAATTCAAGTCCCAGTACTGGCACAAAAGAAAAACTGAGGGAGAGTTAGGAGGAAACATTCCAGGTATGAGCTCGGTAAGGGGCTGGCCAGAAGAGAGGCCCAGGATTGTAAAGCAGACTAGCAAAGGGAGGTTCAGCCAGTGACTCACACCTACAATCCTAGCTACTTAGCAGGCTGAGATCTAAGGATCATGGTTCAAATCCAGCCCAGGCAGGAAAGTCCATGAAACTTTCATCTCCAATTAATTACTCCCCCCCTCCAAAAAAAAAGCCAGAAATAGAGCTGTGGCTCAAAAATTGAGCACCAAAGTATTTTGCTTGAGTACAAAAATTCAGGGACAACTCCCAGGGCATGAGTTCAAACCCCAGGATTGGCAAAAGAAAACAGAAAAAAAGAGGGTCACCAACTAAACAGCTATTCAAGCCAGGGATTGTGCTGGATGATGCCCTGGGGCAGCAAGATGGAGCTGGAGCAAGGCCATTCGCCCAGATGCCTGAGACTTCTGGAAGTCAGTGCACTTTACTGACTACAGCCAGCACAATCAAATGGTCATGGCCCTGATGCTGCTGCCCACTGAATCTGGAGGCCTCGCTCTGCCAGAGACTGGACCTACACACTCCCTGTGAAGACCTCCCCAATGCCACTGCTCGGGAGTCAGAAGGAGTGAGGACAGCCTCTCCCTGGCTGGGCAGAGGACATAGATGGGGCCCACAGAGCTTATCCTGTTCTGACTCCCCTCTCCCTAACAGTGGTATGTGTTGGAGAAGGTGGACTTGCACCCCCAGCTCTGCTTCAAGGTACAAACATGGGCAAGAGGGAGGAGAAGATGGAGGACAGTGCCTACAGCTTGCTGACTTGCCTGTGTGTGTGTGTGTGTGTGTGGTATTTTTCAGTTCTCATTTGAAAACAGCAACCATGTTAAATGCCCCCACCAGAGTGGTCAGCCAGTAATGACCTCATCTGGAGCCCCTTCCCCTCCATTTCACTACCCAACTATGACTAAGACCACCCTACTCCCGCCCTCCATCCCATCCACTACAGCCCGCTGCAATCACTGCCCACACCAAGGGTCTCTCATCTGGAATGTGAGCATGGACATCCGGGCCCAGCAGCTGATTCTCCACTTCTCCTCGAGGATGCGTGCCACCTTCAGTGCCACCTGGAGCCACCCAGGCTCAGAGCTGGACGCCATGGTGGCCCCTGTGTAGTGTCAGCCAGGTATGGGCCGAGCCAGGCTTGGCTCCCATGAGGTCTCATTGGTCAGAGCGTGGCCGAAATCTCTTTGTCACCTCTGGGAGACAAGTGGTTCTATCATCTGTTAATTCATTTGCTTCCTCAGCTTTTGTGCATCTGGTGATCTGTCAGTCAGAGAGGTCCTGGCTGGGACAGTTTTCTATGTCTTTTAGTGTCTCCGCTGAGAGGGATACCAGAGGCTAGAGACTGACCCTCTCACGTCCAGCTGTTCCCTAGTCTACCCAGGCCGCTGCATATTGTATACGCATACCATCCCTGAGCCCAGTTGTCCTCTGCCCCCTCTCCTGCCTTCATAAGGCTCTGGGCAGAACTCCTCTGACTCAAGAAGCAGGGCAGCGAGGAGCTAGCTGCACAGTACTTTGCATCCTAACTTAACTCTGTTACTGGTCTAAGAACAGATTGGCTAGCAGATTCTTCTGAGTATCTGATATAAAAATCACAAACAGGGCTAGGAAGATGGCTCAGTGGTAGAGCGCTTGCCTTGCATGCATGAGGTCCTGGGTTCGATTCCTCAGCACCACATAAGCAAAAAGAAAAACAAGCCAGAAGTGGCGCTGTGGCTCAAGTGGTAGAGCGCTAGCCTTGAGCTGAAGAGCTGAGGGACAGCACCCAGGCCCAGAGTTCAGGGCCCACGACCGGACCCAAAAAAAAAAAATCACAGATGCACCTGCAAAACCGTGGCACAAGCTGACTAAGCTTGACTAGCTTTTTCCCTCTTAAATGTTCACCTGCCGCTTGTCTGTGTGCTTTGCATCCTGTAAGGCTCCCAAGCAGTGGTGACACACTTCAGACTTAAGATGGACCCATGTGGGGTAACTTAAACAGAGACTTCAGTCTGTTGACTTGTTTGGTCTATGAGCTGAGAAAAGACTTCATTGAATTCAGCCATGAAGCTGGCTGGAGAGTAGCGTCTGACACAGGTCTGGAGAATTAAGTAGAAGCCAGAAGGTGCTCCTCAAGGGTGGAGACTGTGACACCCTAATGAGCCCTCAGAACACGTGGTGGGGCCAGCTTCTAGCTGAAGCAAGTCAGCTTCTATTCTGCCCATGCTGCTAGGGTTTAGGAGAGATAAGAAAAGCATCTAGCAGTCTTCCCTTCAGGAGTTCACAATCTAGTATTATGACTGACACACACAAATGAAGAAACAAACTAAGGCTCAGGGGGGAGAGGTACCCTACTTCATGCATGGCTCACACAGCTAGGATTCCTGAGACTCCACGGCTCATTCTTTCAGTGGACAAGGTGCCACCTCAGCTGTGTAGAAGAGAGAAGAGAAGTGCATAAGATTATCTTCCCTAGTCTATGAGCTGCTGGAGGAAAGACACTGAGCCAGCCTGCTTTCTCAGGGCAGGTTCCACAGTAGGCATTGTGTGTGTGTGGTGGGGGGGGGGGCAGTATGTCAACGCTAGACTCTAATGCAGCAGGAGTTGGTATGTGGGAAAGATCAGAGTGGCTGGGAAAGTCTTCTTGTCCAAGATGACAATTGACCTCACGCCTGGCTATAGGATGGAGGTCGGTGGGGAGGAGCAGTGCCAGACACAGTCATATTTGCCGTGTGGGGACAGTCATTCTGCTCTTTGTCCTTACAGACTCAGGGCTCAGGCCCAGTGGCACTAGACCTCATCATTCCTTTCCTGAGACCAGGGGCTGTGTGCTGGTAAGGAGGCCACTCATTCTGAACGTGCTCCTCTGACTCCTCTTCTCCACACCTGTCCCCCAGGGCGCTATTCAGCTCCCCAGGAGGGGGTGCTCTGCTCACAGGTGAGGGCTGTATGGAGGGCCGATGTGCAGGTTGCCTGGAAGCGCCAGTGGTGAGTTCTTTTTTTGTGTGTGTCGGTCGTGGGGCTTGAACTCTGGGCCTGGGCGCTGTCCCTCAGCTCTTCAGCTCAAGGCGAGCGCTCTACCACTTGAGCTACAGCGCCACTTCCGGTTTTCTGGTGGTTTATTGGAGGTAGGAGTCTCACGGTCTCTCCTGCCCGTGCTGGCTTTGAACCGAGATCCTCAGATCTCAGCCTCCTGAGTAGCTAGGATTACAGGCGTGAGCCACCAGCACCCGGCCCAGTGGTGAGTTCTTGGGCCGGAGGGAAGCGCTGGGCGTCGAGGAGCCGGGTGTGAGCTCACCCTGCCGGACTCAGCCCCTCACAGACGCCTGGGGCTGCTGACACTGGCACTAACCGGCCTTGCCACCCCGCTGGGCTTTGGTCTCGTCATCTGCTCCCAGGTAAGCTGGCCTGCGATGGCCAGCGATGCATCTTCCCAGGCCCGCCTGCGGGAAGGGGCCCGGGCAGCGTGGCCACGGCGGGCGGAGGCCCTGGTTAGCCTTGGGTAAGAAGTCCAGCTCTGGGTCCTCCCCGCCACGGCGGTGAGGGGGCCCGGCGGGCGGGGTGCGGCCCCGGGGCTCGGCCTCAGGCGTCGCCCCCTCGCCCAGGCCCCGGGCGCGGCGGGCGGTGCTGCTGCACGCGGGACTCCGAGCGCAGCGGCGCGCGGTGGGCGCGCTGGCCGGGCTGCTGCGGGCGGCGCTGGGCGGCGCCGCGAGGGGGCGGTGGGTCTGGGGAGGGGGCGCGCGTGGGCCCGCTGCCGTGGCTCTGGGCGGCCCGGGCGCGCGTGGCGCAGGAGCGGGGCTGCGTGCTGCTGCGGAGGGGCGGAGACGCGGCGGCCCCCGCGGCCCCACGCCCCGCCGCCCGGCCCGCCGCGCCCTGCCGCGCCCTGCCGCTTCCGCCGGCCGCGGGACCTGCCGCGCCTGCTGCGGGCCCTGGACCCCCGGCCCCCCGGCCCCGCCACCAGCTGGAGCCGCCTCCGGGCCGGCGGCGCCGCCGGGCCCGCCTGGAGCTGTGCCGCCGGCGGGAACGCGAGGCCGCCGGGCCCGCCGCCGCTGCGGCCCCGCACGCCCGCGGGCGCCGGCCGGAACCCCGACCTGAGCCCTCGCCCGGGGGGTGGGGGGACCCTCGGGGTGCCTCCGGGCCGGCCTGCCCGCACCCCTTCCTCAAGGCCGGGATGTCGTCCACCGGTGCCGTTGGAGAGAGGCGAGGTTCCCCCCCTCACACACACACACTGCGCAGGCGCACACCAGCCCCCCCCCCCCCCCCAGCCCGGCTAGACGGGATCCGGAGAGCCCGCTACCCCAGTCGCCTCTCCCTGCGGGAAGCCTGGCCCAGAGTCACACCAGGGACTTTGCCCCCCCCCCCCCCCCCAGCTACACCTCAGCCCTGTGGCTTTTGTTCTTGTTTGCTTCTGTGGCATGCGGTTTGAACTCAGGACCTTGCACGATCTCAGGCTTGCTTGCTCCTGGCCCCACAACTTGAGCCATACCTCCAGCCTGGCTTTATTTAATGGTTCATTGGAGGAGAGTGACTTAGACTCTCATGAATTTTTCTGCCCCATCTGGCTTCAAACTTCCATTCACCAGATCTCAGCTCCTGGGTAGCTAGGGTTACAGGCGTGAATCACCAGTGCCCAGCGTGGAACTCTTGATCATCCTGCATCAGTTTCCTGAGTGCTGGGATTACAGGCATGTGTTACCACACCCAGCTTTAGAGAGGATTTTCTTGACCCAGGAAAAGAAGCCTTGACCCTGGCTGACCAGGACAAAGGTGGGGACAGGAGACCATGATTCAGAAAGATGAATAAAGACAAATGTGATCAATAATGGAAGGAACGCCCTGTACTTTCTAGTGTGGCTGGGATGCGCCGTTGGAAGAAGGTGTGGAGAGGCTGCCTGGGGAGTGTTCTGGGTCCTCTCATAAGCCAGGGCCTCCACACACACGTCTATGTCCCTGTCACATTCTCACAAGCCATGCCTGCCAAAGGGAAAACACAGCCCTGAAGTCTCCTGGCTCCTAACTGATTCTTCCCAGGGCAGAGAGGAAAATCCGTGGTCAGCTAAGGGACAGGGCCCTCCTCACACCACCTGCCAGGCATCAGCAAGGGGCATTTGTCTGCCTGCCACCAGATGGGATCCTCCCCTCTGTACCACACTTGAGGCTAGGCCAGTGGTGAAAGTTCACTTTGGGATTCTGCCCCTAGAGCTGTGTCCCACAGGGAGTTACCAAGCTCTGGGGATGCGTGTGAACGGGTCCTGAGGTGTTCACTAAAAGTCCCCAGTTCCCAGACCTGTGTTTAGTAAGGGTCACGTGGAAGTGGGAAGCCTATGGATTGCCCGGGTCCTCAATCGGAACATCTGTAGGGACTCTGTAGGGACTTCCAGGGTGAGTAAGGACTCCTTCGCTCTGCGGTGAAGCTGGCCGCCCTCCCAGGGCTCCACCTAGCCAGGTGTCAGAGACACAGGAGGAGGAGAAGCCAGCCGACTCCACTCTTCTGGCTCCAAGGCCTGGCTGTAGTGGGAGGGCCCAGGCGGGGCGGGAAGAGCAGCTGCCAGCTAGGAATCAAACCGAAAGTGCTCCGGCTGGAAGTGCGTCGGGAACCCCGGCTCCCAGGAGTGGGGAACACAAGCTGTCCAGCACTGGGACCCAGAGGCTCAATTCCAGCCCCCACCACTGCCCACAGACACCGGGCTGGGTGGGGGCAGGGGTGAAGTGCCTGCCCCCCCTCTGGGGGGGGGCCAGGGCCTCGGGCCTGGGTGCTGCCTAGCACCTGGAAGATGCCAGTGCCCTGGCTCCTGCTGTCCTTGGCGCTGGGCGGGAGCCCGGGGGTTGTCTCTCTGGAAAGGCTTGTGGGGTCTCAGGATGCTGCGCGCTGTTCTCAGGTGAGTCTGGGGTCCTGGGAGAGGGTTGGGGAGCGCTCTGGGGCCCATCAAATCCTCATCTGGCTCCTGTCACCGCCACCACCTACAGAACCGCCCTGGCTGGTCGGGCAGGTGCTAAGGAAGGCAGAGAAGATGGGGAGGGGGAAGAGGGAGCTCCAGGAAGAGGGGTGTGGGAGGGGTGCGGCCGAGCTTGGCACCTTGGCGGGGGAGGGTGCTTAGTTAGATTTGGGGGTGCATAAGCTCTTGACTCTCCTTTCCTTCCTTTGCAGGGCCTCTCATGCCACCTCTGGGGTAAGTATTGTTACTTTTTAGAGAAAACATGGGGGGGGGGAAGCTGGCCCAGACCCAGTCCTCCTCTGCCCACCCCTCTGGGGGTGGGTGGGGGCCACCAAACTGGATTCTGAGGGCCTCCAGCCGCGCCCCCCCCACTCACCCTGCGCCCGCAGATGGCGATGTGCTCTGCCTGCCTGGGGGCATCACGCGCGCGCCAGGCCCTGTGCTGGTGCCCACGCACCTGCGGACTGAGCTGGTGCTGAGATGCCACCGGGAGAACGACTGCGACCTCTGCGTGCGCGTGGCCGTGGGCTTGGCCGTGCGTGGTGAGTCATCCTGCGACTGTACACACGAGCATGGGTGGGCAGGTGTGAGCACTGGGAACCTGGCGTCCGGGTAGCACTGGGATCCTCAGTGCTGAGCACACTGGGCAAAGGATGCACAGACCAGCGTCTTCTCCCAGGTAGCGGTAGAGCACTCACTTTCAAACACTGAAGGACACCAGGCCTGTAGCCAGCCCCCAGCAGTGGGGCTGACCCGGGCCTCGTGTTCCGATTCTTCCAGGGCACTGGCAAGAACCTGAAGATGAGGAAGAATCTGGAAGAGCACTTGGTGTGGAGCAGGGGGATGCTGGGAATGGTGAGAGGAGAGAGCTGGCTTACTGCCCCTCATCAGGGCTTTGCTTGTGGCCTGGCTGACCCCCACCCGTTGCTCCCAGCCCCTCTCCAGGCCCAAGTCGTGCTGTCCTTCCAGTCCTACCCCACTACCCGCTGCATCCTGCTGGAGGTGCGCGTGCCGGCTGCCCTGGCTCAGGCTGGCCAGTCTGTGGTATGTGAAGTCGGTGTTCCCTTAACCTTCAAAGTAGTAACCTTCTGCTAAGCACATGTTCATGAGGGTTCTAAGTCCTGCTGCTGATCAGAGCAGTGGGCACAGCCTCTCAGCCCACTGTGCCTCAGTGTTCCTGTCTGTAAAATGGGAATAAGAATAGTTCTACCTCAGGGCTGAGAAGGTGGCTCAGTGCTAGAGTGCTTGCCTTACATATAAGGCCCTGGGTTCCCTTCCTCAGCACCACATAAGCAGAAAAAGCCAGAAGTGGCGCTGTGGCTCAAGTGGTAGAGCGCTAGCTTTGAGCTGAAGAGCTGAGGGACAGCGCCCAGGCCCAGAGTTCAGGCCCCAAGACTGGACAAAAAAAAAAAAATAGTTCCACCTCATTTGTGAGAAATCACCAAGCAACTTTGTGTGTTTAGTGATATGGCACTGTGGAGTTTGTTGGTGGTGAGTGGTGCTGGGGACGGAACTCAGCCTTGTGCGTGCTAGGGAAGAAATCTAAGAATGAGCTCCATCCTCAGCTGTTGCTTTTTCTTTTACTCTCTATCCTTTTTGTTTTTTCTTTCTGGTCCTGGGCCTTGAACTCTGGACCTGGGCTTTGTCCCAAGGTTAGTGCTCTACCACTTGAGCCACATCACCTCTTCTGGCTTTTTTCTGTGGTTAATTGGAGGTGAGAGTTTCACGATCCTCATCCTCCTGAGTAGCTAGGATTACAGGCGTGAGCCACTGGTGCCCAGTGAGCCCTTGCTTTTTTTTTTTTGAGGCAGGATCTCACTATGTAGCCCAGGATGACCTCAAACCCCTGAGTCCTGAGTTTACAGGCAGGTTCTACAAGACCAGCTGCTTTTTTTTTTTTTTTTTGGTCCAAGACTAGGACTTGAACTTGGTATCCAATATTTTTGCTCATTGGCTGGCACTCTGCCATGAGAGCCATGACTCCAAACCCTCATTATGACCTCTATCCCTGATGACAGCTCAAGTCACATAACTTTTTACACACGTTATCTGCTGTGCAATTTCCTTTGTAAATGCTGTTAAATATTTCACCACTCTAAATAAAAGAGGGGGTCAGGGGGATGGGCACCAGCAGCTCACCCCCATAATCCCAGCTACTCAGGAGGCTGAGAGTGCGCATCCTTGCTTTGTTCTTGATTTTAGCAGAAATGGTTTTTAGTTTTTCCCCATTCAGTATGATGTTGGCTATTTGTTTGTCATATATAGCCTAGCCTTTCTTGTTTTAAGGAATGTTCCTTCTAATCCTAAACTGCTTTCTGGGCTTGAACTCAGGGTCTGGCACTGTCCCTGAGCTTCTTTTGCTCAAGGCTAGGACTGTGCCACTTGAGCCACAGCACCATTTCACCGCTGCATTTGTTCACACTTTATCTGTCCATTTCTGTGCTTCTCCTTACCCTCCCAAGACAAGCAAATGAACTAACAAGACAAAAAGAAAACAAAAATAGTGAACAAGAAAAGTACCTCGTTTCCATTTCCTGGAGTTCATTTTGGTAATTTTTTTGATCTTTTGTTTTGTTGTTGTTGTTGTTTGCTGGACCTGGGGCTTGAACTCTGGGCCTAGGTGCTGTCCCTCAGCTCTTCAGCTCAAGGCTAGCGCTCTACCACTTGAGCCACAGTGCCACTTCCGGCTTTTTTCTTTTTGCTTATGTGGTGCTGAGGAATCGAACCCAGGGCCTCAGGCATGCAAGGCAAGCGCTCTACCACTGAGCCACCTTCCCAGCCCCCTCATTTCCATTTCCTGGAGTTCATTTTGGTAATTTTTTTGTTTTTTGTTTTGTTGTTGTTGTTGTTTGCTGGACCTGGGGCTTGAACTCGGGGCCTGGGTGCTGTCCCTGAGCCTCTTGGTGCTCAAGGCTAGCGCTCTACCACTTGAACCACAGTGCTACTTCTGGCTTTTTCTAAGTAGTTTATTGGAGATAAGAGTTTCACAGACTTTTCTGCACAGGCTAGCTTTGAACTGTGATCCTCAGGTCTCAGCCTCCTGAGTAGCTAGTATTACTTACAGGTGTGAACCACAGGCACCCAGCATGATCAATATTTTTTAATATGATCAGAGGCATATAGGCATTGTGCCTTTGTGTTTCTCTCCTAAGAGTATCCTCCTTTGGTCTCACTGTGTGAATTTTATTATTCCCTGGTGTATTTTATTTATTTATCTGGTTATGGGGCTTGAACTCTGGGCCTGGGTGCTGTCCCTGAGCTCTTCAGCTCAAGGCTAGTGCTCTATCACTTGAACCACAGAGCTACTTCTGGTTTTCTGGTGGTTCATTGGAGATAAGAGTCATGGACTTCTCTGCCTGGGGTTGACTTTGAACTGTGATCCTCAGATCTCAGCCTCCTGAGTAGCTAGGATTACAGATGTGAACCACTGGCACCCAGCTTGGACAGAAGATATTTTGACTTAAACTGGAGCCCTGTGGCAGGAGTGTGTGTGTGTGTGTGTGTGTGCGCGCGCGCGCGCGCGATGCCCACGCGTGTGTCCATACTGAGGCTTGAATTCAGGCCTTGTGCTCTCTCTTGGCTTTTGGCTCAAGGCCAAAGCTTTCGTGGTGGGTCTCAAGCTATGTAGTTATTGCTTGGAGATGGGTTAGGGCAGCTGGTGAGCATACAGATGAGACCAAAGCCTCTGACTTTGGGGCTCCCATCACCGGTCCTCTACCAGCAGGCCTCCACCACCCCTCTCCTCACAGGGCTCTGTAGTGTTTGACTGCTTTGAGGCTGCTCTGGGGGCTGAGGTGCGAATCTGGTCCTACACTCAGCCCAGATACCAAAAGGAACTAAACCTCACACAACAGCTGCCTGGTGAGTGCCCCCAAACCCTGAGAGCCCCCAAGTCCTGGCCTCTCTGATCTCTGTCCCCTCCGGCCGCTTCCCTGGTGGGCACCAGGTCTGTCTGTCAGGGAGACACTGGAGCTGGCACTTCCTCAGTCGGTCCATTCCTGTGCTGGCCCCCAGGCCCTGGAGGTGGGGGGGACTGTGTGCATTGCATGGATGTGGGTGGTATTTAGGGGACAGGGAGCCCTTCCCAATGCTTCCTGTAGGTCAGTTTGCTGCCTTCTTTTCCTTGGTCCCCCGCCCCACTGGAGGCTTTTCTGTGATCTCTCCCCAGACTGCAGGGGTCTTCAAGTCCGGGACAGCATCCAGAACTGCAGGGGTAGGGGCCTGGGCTGGGGCGGGGGGGCAGGGCTGGAGGTCCCCCCAGGGAGCCTTGGAGTTGGCTCCAGCTCCAGGCTGCCACATCACGGCTCACTGAGCTCTTCATTCATTCATCACACTTCCATTTCAATAGCTGCTAAGTCTCTGTGAGGCATTGAGACATTCAGATGAATGTCACCTTCTTTGCTTTCTTTCTTTTCTTTTTTTTTGTCAGTCCTAGGGCTTGAACTCTGGGCCTGGGCGCTGGCCCTCAGCTCTTCAGCTGAAGGCGAGGGCTCTACCACTTGAGCCACAGCGCCACTTCTGGTTTTTGGGTGGTTCATTGGAGATAACAGTCTCATGGTCTTTCCTGCTGAGGCTGGCTTGGAACTGGGGTCTTCAGATCTCAGCTTCCTGAGTAGCTGGGGTTACAGGTGTGCCCTACTCTGCCTGCTCAGTGCAGTTAGCGGTTACATATGTATATGCTTGTATAGCAGGAAGAACAAGATAGGAACACTGTGATGTTGTTTTAACTATTCAGACTTTTTCAGGCTCATTTTGTTTTTGGTTCCTCAAACTTGGCTTGTCTGTTTGGCAATCCATAAAGACCACTCAGCTCAATAATACATACATCGCTTCCCTATTCGACAGCTATTAACTGAGTGATTATCAGGCCTGGCCATAGACCCTGGACATAAAATAATCAACAGACTTACAAAACATTCCTTATAGAGCTGGCGGGGGCAGGCTTGGGAAGGGATAAGGGAGGACACGGTAAACACGGAGCCATGAGGAATACAGTAAGTCAGGTGATGACTGGAGGAACGGGGAGAGGGGTGGGAAAGTGGGGAGCAGCAACAGTGTGAAGACCTCCCCATGGTGCAGGATATATTTGAGAGACAAGGATTCCATGCAGAGAGAGAAGCCAGTGCAAAGGTCCTGAGGCAGGCATGTGTCATGTGGAGAAGAATGATAGGTCAGTGTGTGTGATGGCGTAATCAAGGGCACAGGTTGTAGGAGAGGAATTTAGGGATTCGTGGCCACTAGGGTGGGTAAGGCCTTGGCAGCTTTCGGAAGGACTCTAGGTTTCACTCAGAGTAGGGGCAAAGTCTGGATGGAGCTGGGGACTCGGTCTCAGGCCTCCAGGGGCCTCCTAGTCTAAGGAGCTTGATAGACATCTCAAGGGCTAGACACCTCGATTTGGGTCTGCACAAAGGTGAAGGGAGTGTCCCCAGCCCTCTGTCCATCCTTCTCCCAGCCCTGCCCTGGCTCAATGTGTCTGCAGACGGTGATGACGTGCGTCTGGTGCTGGACGTCTCTGAGGAGCAGCGCTTCGGCCTCTTACTGTACTGGAGTCAGATCCAGGGCACCTCCAAGCCTTGGAAGCACAGAAACCTGGTGAGGACTCTCCCACCCCAAGTTCATGTCCCCCCTCAGCCAGTGTCCAGACGAACGATGCGTGCGCACAGCACGAACGGCCCCCTGAAGAACAACCAAAGCCAAGGAGCACGGCTGAGAGCTCCCTGCTGGTGTCCCCATCCTGAGCTTCCCCTTCTTCCTCTAGCTCCAACTTTCCTCCTCTGATTCCTCCCACAGACCGGACCTCAGAATATTACTTTGAGCCATACAGACCTGGTTCCCTGCCTCTGCATTCAGGTAAGAGCAGAAGCCAGCTGAGTGCCAGGGGAGAGGCCTGGGAACTTGGTGAGGGGGTGCCTGCCCCCCTTTTTTTCTGTTGGTCGAGGGGCTTGAACTCTGGGCCTGGGCGCTGTCCCTCAGCTCTTCAGCTCAGGCAAGTGTTCTACCACTTGAGCCACAGCACCACTTCCGGTTTTCTGGTGGTTAATTGGAGATAAGAGTTTCATGGACTCTCCTGCCGGGGCTGGCTTTGAACTATAATCCTCAGATCTCAGCCTCCTGAGTAGCTGAGATTACAGGCGTGAGCTACCGGTTCTGCCGCTTCTGCTTTTCATCCTTTCGAATATTCTCCCTTGAGGTGGAGATGATATACCCTTTCTCCCTCAGGTGACCAGCGGCACTGCATCTCCCCCCCCACCCCCCACCGTCCTGGGTGTCCTGTGCCTTTTGCCTATTATGTGCCTAAATGCTCTCCTGGCCTCTATCCACAGCACTCCTACTTAGGACTCAGGACCCCTCAAGTGTCCTCTCCTCTGATTCCCTGTTTGTGCTCCTGTTTGGGTAGAACACATGGCTGGCTTCAATCCCTTCTCTTGCCATTTGCTGTCTATTTGACCTCTCTGAGCCCAGTTCCTTCCTGTGAAATAGGGTGTGATATCACCAGCCTCACAGGCCGCTGTGAGAGGTGTGAGCTTTCCCACGTGGACTCGCTTGTCTCTCTGACTGTATATGCATCCAGTGAGTCTTCGGGTCCCATTCATTTGGCCTCTAGCATTATTGTCTCATTCTCTTTCTTCCTCCTCTCCATCTCAGTTAATTTGGGGCCTCTCCCACCTCTTCTCTACACCTTCCTTCTCTGGTATTCTGGGTTCTGTTCTGGCTTCCTGGTGTTCCCTCTGTACAAGAAGGGATAGTCTGTCCCAGTTAGACCTTTCCCACTATATTCTCCTCAACATTCCCCTTACAGCGGATCTGTTATATCGGATGGAGCTACTGACCAAGCTATACTCACTCTTCCCTTTGCTCATCCCAAATGCCTGCACCCCTTTTCTATACAGCCAGATCTCCCAACGCACACTTCACCTCTTTTCCAAAGCCCCCAACTCAACCACTTGGCCTCCCCCAGCTCCTAGCCCACTTGTAATTCTGCTCCCCTTTCTTGTCTATTAATATTACTTCCTCTAATATTGGGGCTTTCCTCCTCCCCTTCCTCCTCCTCCTCCTTCTCTTCCTCCTCCTCCTCCTTCTTCTTCTCTTTTCTTCAGTCATAGGGCTTGAACTCAGGGCTTGAGCTCTTTTGCTCAAGGTTAGCACTCTACCACTTTGAGCCACAGCACCACTTCTGATTTTTTAAAATTTTTTTAAAAAGTATCAAAGCAGCTTTCATTGATAACTTTTGATTTTTGAGTAGTTAATTGTAGATAAGAATCTCGTGGGGACTTTTCTGCCTGGGCTGGCCAACTGTGATCCTTAGATTTCAGCCTCTCGACTAGCTAGGATTACAGACATGAGCCACCAGCACCCAGTCTCTCATTTCTTCTTGTACAAAATAGCTGTACAATAAATTTTTGGAAATGAGTGACCAATTTGCTAATTTATTTATATATTTTAACTGTGACTTTGTGATTTCCCTAAAGGCAAGCAGATCATATGTAACTGAAATGCAATAATTTTATCAGAGCCTCACAACAGAGTGAGTGCTCACTGTTTGGTGAACAAATGAATGAATGAACCTCTATTGCCAAACACAGTGACAGGACCCAGAGCACATATCCAGGAAATATTTACTGTAGCTTAACTGTCATTGCCTATTAACAATAAGTATTCTGAGGGCTGGGAAGGTGGCTCAGTGGTAGAGCGCTTGCCTTGCATGCCTGAGGCCCTGGGTTCGATTCCTCAGCACCACATAAGCAAAAAAGAAAAAAGCCGAAAGTGGCGCTGTGGCTCAAGTGGTAGAGTGCTAGCCTTGAGCTGAAGAGCTGAGGGACAGTGCCCAGGCCCAGAGTTCAGGCCCCACAACCGGACCCCCCCCCCAAAAAAAGTATTCTGATTAAAGCTTTAATGAAGCAATATACTATCTAGAGTGCTTACACAGGGCTAAGCAGGTGCCAAGTGCTTACACAGGGCTAAGCAGGTCCCAGGTGCTCTTAAAAATCTCACTGAAAGAATGAATGGGTCCTTGTCGAACTAGCACAGTACCAAGCACATAGTAGGTACCCACAAAGTGAGAATGAAAGCAGAATGAATTAAAATGAAAACTGTCTACCATCCCTTGTGCCTACCGTACTAAGATGCACAGTAAGCCCTCACAAAGATGTTGCCGGCGCTTGGTGAAGTATTTGCTGAAAGACTAAAATTTCCATCCATTGCAAAGGCGGGGTCCTTTACTCGCTTGGGAAATGAGGCTTGTGAAGATCCCACTGTCAGGCCCAGGGCCCGGCCTGGCCTGGCCTGGTGCAAGATTGGATGGGTTGAATTGAGCTGAGCTGAGCCTTTTTCCTCTCCAGGTCTGGCCCTTGGAGCCCGACTCAGTCAGGACCGGCTTCTGCCCTTTCAGGCAAGGTGAGTGATCCGTGTCCTCCCCACCCCCAGACCTGCTGACTGGGAGGACGGGAAGGTGGCGTCTTGACCCTGGTCCTCCGCTGCAGATCCCCGGGCGCACCGCAACCTCTGGCGCGCAGCCCGTCTCCGCCTGCTGCCCCCGCGGAGCTGGAAGCTGGAGGCGCCTTGTTCGCTGCAGGCCGAGGTGGTGCTGTGCTGGCAGGCCCCAGGCCTGGGCCCCTGCCAGCCACTGGTCCCGCCCGTGCCCCCCGAGAACGTCACTGTGAACGTAAGTCAGGCAGGGCCCTGGATGGGTCGAGGGAAGGCGATGTGGGCAGCTCTCTCATGCTCTGTTCTCTGTCTTCCACAGAAGGCCCGTGAGTTCCCATTGCTGAAGGACCACCCCAACATCTGTGTCCAGGTCCGGATGTGGTGCTAGAACCCTGGATGGGGGGACCTGCCCAGGCCCACCCCCTCCAGTCACTGTCCTCTGCACCCACCTTATTCCTGGGGCCCCTTTCTTTTTGAGTATTCCACCGTTCACTGTGGCACCAGCTGAACTAAACCAATCCATGCCCCTGCTCTCATAGAGCCCATGTTTCTAATGGAGAAAGGCAAATCACAATAGCATAGTAAGTACATGAAGCAGTATGGCAAGCTACTGTATACAGAGCTAATGTTAAAATTGAATACCAGGCTCATACCTGTAACCCTAGCTACTAAGGAGGCTGGGATCCGAGGATTAAGGTTCAAAGCCAGCATGGGCAGTAAAGTCCATGAGACTCTTACCTCCAATTAAGCACCACAAAACTGGAAGTGGAGCTGTGGCTCAAATGATGGAGTGCTCACCTTGAGCACAAAAGCTCAGGGCAGTGAGCACCCAGGCCCTGGGTTCAAGCCCCATGATCACCAATACTAAGATAAAAGGTGAAGGGAGAAGGGAAGATAGGCTGACAATTTCCCATGGATGGTCAGGTGAGAAGGAAGCTTCTCTTCTGTTATAAAGTGCTTGAGTAAGACATGAAAAGACCTTTAAGGTGGCTAAGGTTCATTAGCTGAGCTGAGCCTGAGAAAAATGAGGTGTCCCCAGCCTTCAACCCGAACCTGCAGCCAGCCTCAGGTCCCCAGCACACAACCAGCCCGACAGGATTCCCTTTGCCTGCTCCCTTTATTCCCCCTTTCTGGCCCTAGCTCTTGCTTTTCCTACTGCCCCTAAGTCTGCCTCTTCCAAGCAGGTAAGCAACTGGGAGAAGCTGCAGCTCCAGGAATGCCCGTGGGCTGGTGAGTGGGGGCTGAGCCTCCCTGGACCAGGGCCACTCTAGTAGGGTGAACCCTGGAAGTCCCGGCCCCTGTGGGGGGAAGGGTGTTGAGTGCTGGATATTGCTCAGAGTGGCCTGTCACTCCTCCCAGACTCCCTGGGGCCCCTCAAGGATGATGTGTTACTGGTGGAGACCCGAGGCCCACAGGACAACAGATCACTCTGTGCTTTGGAACCCCACGGCTGTACCCCACTGCCCAGCAGGGCCTCCACGGTGAGAGCCAAGAAACCGTCCCTCCATTGACTTCTCAGCTCCAATTTCCTGCACTGGGCCTTGTGGCTGTAGCATGGGTGTGCGTGACTCGGCCCCGGCCCCTGCTAAGTGGTCTCTCGAGTCTCCTGGCTCGCCCTTCCCTAGGCAGTTCTGCCGAGAAGCAGCTGGTGCTCACCTCAGAGTGCCTCCCCCGGTGACAGCTTCCCATCCCTTGGCTTGGCAGAGGGCAGCTCGCCTTGGAGAGCAGTTACTGCAAGACTTGCATTCAGGCCAATGTCTGCAGGTAAGTAGGTGGCAGCCGTGCCCCGATGCCCAACCACCATAAAGCAGGGTTAAAACAGGATTATTTGCGCCTGCTTCCTGTTTAAGGCCTGAGAAGTTAAAGGTAGACTAAGCTTGCCTGGCCTAAGGAGCTCAGTAAATGGATCACCACACCCACAGGCACTAAGGGTTGTGCTCCAGAGAAAGTTTCAAGGATCTCTTCCTGTGGGCTGGATTTGACATGGAGAAAGTCAGAAAGAAGGACAGACAACGGATGGAGCAAAGACACAGTAGCTGTGAGAGACCTGCTGTGAGAAAGATCATAGTTGAGGCTCTGAATTTGGAGATCAAGTTGGTCAGAAACTGGAGGTGTTGATCACCAGGCTAACGGCTCTGGACTTGGTTATTTGTCTTGCAGTTGTGGGATGATGACCTGGGAGCACTGTGGGCCTGCCCCATGGACAAATGTGAGTAGCACAAAGACTGCTCTTCCTTGGCGTACCAGAGCTAGAATCATGACAGGCACCATTCCTGGGGTATAAATGCAATGGCCTTTATCCTTCTTTGGACTCAGATAAATCAGAGAATTATTCCTTTATTCAGGCAAAAAAATAATAATACAAGAACTTGCAGAGATTTTGGAATCACTGAAAAGATACAATCTGCCCCATCAATAGAAGTTTAAAAGGATAGAAGCTGAAAAATAAGTTGCACTCAGTAAGAATAAGCTCCTGATGCCTTACAGACTGTGTGAACTTACAACAGGATGAGCTCTTGAAGCACTGTAAAGTGTTCAGTGCTGCAAAACCACAGTAGAGCCTGCCCCAGTGGGATGAGGGGTTCAAGGAAGGTCTTCAGCTGTGCTCTGAAGGCTGAGCTAGGCTAAGGGAACAGCAGTGCATTTTTGTGAAGCCTGTGGGGTTTATTTTTGGGGAAGTGCAAGGGCCACCCTGTGGCTGACTCGTGGGTCTTGGGCGGCATGCATGTCATCATGACACCAAGATATCATGACACAAGGAATTGGGTTTTGTGTCTAGAAGGATTTTTTTTTTTTTTGGTCAGGTGTGGGGCTTGAACTTGGGGCCTAGGCACTGTCCCCGAACTTCTTTGTGCTCAAGGCTAATACTCTACTATTTGAGCCACAGCAGCATGTTAACTGGAGATAAGTCTCACAGGAACCTTTTTTTCCCTGTTGGCTTCAAACCAATCCTCAGATCTCAGCCTCCTGAGTAACTCAGATTACAGGCATGAGCCACCAGCGCCCAGCTTAGAAGGAATTACTCTAATTCCTTCCTGAGGAATTAAACTTACACTGTGTGTGTGTGTTTTGCTGGTAGTAGGGCTTGAACTCAGGGGCTCATTCTCTTAGCTTTTTTCTGCTCAAGATGGTATAGTGTATTACTTGAGCCACACCTCCACTAATGGCTTTTTGCTGGTTCGTTGGAGAGAGAAGTCTCACAGGTTGGCTTCAAACTTCCATCCTCAGATCTTAGCCTCCTGATTACCATCATTCAGCTTAAAGCCTGTGCTTTTTTTTTTTTTTTTGTGGGGGTCCGGTCGTGGGGCCTGAACTCTGGGCCTGAGCACTGTCCCTCAGCTCTTCAGCCCAAGGCTAGTGCTCTACCACTTGAGCCACAGCGCCACCTCCGGCTTTTTTCTTTTTGCTATGTGGTGCTGAGGAATCGAACCCAGGGCCTCAGGCATGCAAGGCAAGGGCTCTACCACTGAGCCACTTTCCCAGCCCCTAAAGCCTGTACTTTTTACAAGATCTCTGGTACTGCCATTCAGTGGATGGATTGGAGGCAAAGGCGGGGCAGGGATCCCAGTTAGGAGGCTGTTGTACTCATGGAAGACAGTAAAGTCAAGTACCCAGAAACTCTAGGCTTAGCTGACATTTGAACACTAGCAACATTTGAACACTTGGCATTTTGTTAAGTGCTTTATGTGCAACTTTTACACGTGGTAGTATCATCATCCCAACTTTGCAGATGTGAGCCTGGCAGGAAGTGAAGTTACTTACCCAAGGTCACACAATAGATGGAGCTGTTTGTGCACAGGCTATGACACTATGTGCTGTGGACTTTGGGCAAATCACTTTGTTTCTCAGGGCTTCTATTTTTTTCTCCTGTGCAAGGAGGTTTCCTTTTTTCTATTATTATTATTATTGGTGGGGAGGGAGGTATAAGGGCTTGAACTCAGGGCCTGGATGCTGTCCCTTAGGGCTTTTGCTCAAGGGTGGTGCTCTACTGCTTGAGCTCTACTATTGAATTTTTTTTTTTTGTGGTTAATTGGAGAAAATGGAGTTTCCAACTGTGATCCTCACATCTCAGCCTCTTGAGCAGTTAGGGTTCCAGGCTTGAGCCACTGATTAGGCTTAAAGTGTAAGATTTCTAACTAGCCTGGCCTCTGCCCTGGGTCTCCCAGACATCCACAGGCGCTGGGCCTTCGTGTGGCTGGCCTGCCTGCTCTTTGCTGCTGTGCTTTTCCTCTTCTTCCTCCTCAAAAAGGATCGCGTGAAACGTGAGTGCTTCCCTGACCCCTGTGCCCAGGGGGCTGGCCCAGAGGGGCCCAGAGTGCGGGAGGGAAGGCGCGGCTCACCCGCCGCCCCTCTCCCCTCACAGGGTGGCTGAGGCTCTGGGAGCAGGATGAGCGCTTGGGGCGGGGGGGGGGGGGGGGGGGGGTGCCGGGGAGGGCGGGGGCCCGGCGGGACAGCCCGGCTCACGGCCGCCTTTTCTTCTTTTCTCCCCAGCCGCGGCCACCAGGGGCCGCGCAGCTCTGCTCCTCCACTCGGCCGACAGCGCGGGCTTCGAGCGCGCGGTGGGCGCGCTGGCCTCGGCGCTGTGCCGGCTGCCGCTGCGCGTGGCCGTGGACCTGTGGAGCGGCCGCGAGCTGAGCGCGCAGGGGCCCCTGGCCTGGTTCCACGCGCAGCGGCGCCAGACCCTGCAGGAGGGCGGCGTGGTGGTCCTGCTCTTCTCGCCGGGGGCCGTGGCGCTGTGCCGAGAGTGGCTGCAGGATGGGGCGGTGGCCCCCGGGGCACGCGGCCCCCACGATGCCTTCGCCGCCTCGCTCAATTGCGTGCTGCCCGATTTCCTGCAAGGCCGGGCGCCGGGCCGCTACGTCGTGGCCTGCTTCGACGGACTGCTGCACCCGGACGCCGTGCCCGCCCTGTTCCGCGCCGTGCCCGTCTTCTCCCTGCCCTCGCAGCTGCCCGAGTTCCTGGGCTCCCTGCAAGGGCCCGGCGCCTCCCGCCCCAGGCGGCTCGCCGAGAGGGCAGAGCAAGTGTCCCGGGCCCTTCAGCCCGCCCTGGACAGCTGCTTCCTGTCCCCAGGAGCCCCCGGGCGGGAGACAGGACCCGAATAAAGCAGAGCTGTTTTCCTATCACTGGCCCTGGGGAGTCTCTACGGCCAAGCCCAGGACCCTGCAGCCCCCGGCCCTTTAAAGCCGGAGCAGGTGTAGGCTGGCATTGTCTCTGATTGGCTAGGGTGGGTGACGTCATTGCACATGGCTCGCCGCCATTGGCTGCAACGGTTGGTCACGCCCCGGTCTGCTGCGTGCGCTTCACGCAGGCGGTGGCGACCTCAGCGCTCGCTCGGGGCAGGGGGCGGTGGTTTCTCGGCTCTTCGCGGGCGCCTTCGGCTCTGGCCGGTCCTGTCGGCCGGAGGCTCCGGCCTGACCCCTTCTCTTCATGACCGGACCCCGGCTTCTCCTCCCAGGACCAGGGCTCCTCACTCCTCCCCCCAGCGCACCCTTCTGGCCTTCTCTCTCCTAGTACTCAACCCGCTCTCCCCAGTTCTGCTGCTTTGGCCCCTAAGAACTCCTTGAGACCCCAAGACATGGCCCGGCTCCTGCCCCCTGGCCAAGGATCCAGGCCACGACCCCTGCGGCAGTGGGGATAGGGCTAACTTATTTCTCGCTTGGGATTGCTGGTTAAATTCTTTTCCCCACCAAACCCTGCCCCGCACCCCCAAGTTCTCTTACAGTCAGTCTGGGCTCCCTGCCCCGCCTATCCCTGAACCCACCCTTTCCTTTCCTTTCCCACCTCCACCACGAGCCTGGCTCCTAGAGAGGCCTCCCACGTCCTCTATCTGCTGGGCCCCAGCCTGGGAAGAGATGGCCCCACACCCTCCTTGGGGCCTGGTCGCAGCCCTGCTCTGGGGCCTAACTCTCTTCCTCAGCCTCCCAGACCCTGCCTGGCTCCAGCCCTCTCTTCCTCCCCAATCTGCTCCCCCCGCTGAGCCCCATCCATGTCATACCTGCCGGGCACTGGTGGACAGCTTCAACAAGGTGGGTGCACCAGTAGTCTACAGGGAGGGGGCCTACCCACCTGTAGCCCAGCTGTGCGCAGCTGGGGGCCTTGGTCTGAATCTGCAGGGATTCAACTCCCATCTCGCTTATTGTCTGTATGGCGCGGGGCAGTGTCTGCTCTGTGTATCAGTTCCCTGGTCTGTAAAATAGTAAAACACCAGACTGTGCCAGGCTCTGTACTTAACTATTACTAGTTTTCTCCATATCCAGGGCCTGGAGAGAACCATTCGGGACAACTTTGGGGGCGGAAACACTGCCTGGGAAGAAGAGAAGTTGTCCAAATACAAAGACAGGTAAGAGGATGTTGGGGAGGAGCTGGGTGTATATTCTACCTCTTAATCTCTGTTCCACTGCATAGGAGGGTCTAGGAGCTCTTAGAGGGGATTTATTCATACAACAATCATCACTGAACATCTACTACACAGCAATAAACAAGGAAGCAAACTCCTGTCTTCCTGGAACTCACATTCTAGTATAGAAACAAGGAGCTGGTGGCTCATGCCTGTAGTCCTAGCTACTCAGGAGGCTGAAATCTGAGGATCCCAGTTTGAAGCCAGTTTGGGCAGACAAATCTAAGAGACTCTTGTCTCCAGTTTACCCACAAAAAGCCAGAAGTGGCAGTGTGGCTCAAGTGGTAGAGCCACTACCCTTGAACCAAAATGCTAAGCAAAAGCCATGAAGCTCTGTGTCCAAGCCCTAGAACTACGTGTGCACACGCATGTGTGTGCACACATATGCACACGTAACACTTTCTAGTTGAAAAATAAGTAAATAACTTGTCAGGTAAAGGACAGTCAAGTGAGGTAGACTACAGAGGGCAGGAGTTTGTGTAACTAGAAGAGGAGGGAGTGCAGTGAGCAGAAATGAGATCCACACTTTGACCGCTACAGAATGGGGTTTATATTTTGTTCTGTGTATAATGGGAAGCCCCTGGGAGATTTTGAGCAGAGAAGTAATCGGCTCTCTCTCTTTTTGTCTTGAAGACTTTTCTCTACAGACTGGTTTCATACTTCCAGTCTTTAAAAAAAAAAAAAAAAAAAAAAAGCTCAAGGGATCAAGTGTCTTTTTTTTTTTCTTCTCTCCTTTGGTTGTGAGGCCTGGGCGTTGTCCCTCAGCTAAAGGCTAGCACTCTACCACTTGAGCCATAGCACCACCTCTAGTTATCTGGTGGTTTATTGGAGATAAGTCTCACAGAGTTTCCTGCCCAAGCTGGCTTTGAACCACGATCCTCAGATCTCAGCCTCATGAGTAGCTGGGATTATAGTTGTGAGCCACTGGTGCCGGCAAATAGGGTCTTTTTGTACCTAGAAAAGATCACTCACAGCTGGCCAAGTGGAAGAAGTGGGGACAAATTTAAAAGGTGAATACGCAGCGTAGCATGAAGGAGCCTGAGCTAGTGTGGTATCCAGTAATGGATAGGATGAGAAGGGTAGAATTCTGGGTATATTTTATAGATAGAACAGTAAGACTTGAGATGGATTCATTATGGGGTTTGAGAAAAAGAATAAAAACCTGAGGTAAATAGCAATTTTCAGAGATAAGACTGTGGAGGTGGTTTTGGGGTAGGCTTAGGTGTGGTCTTTAAGCTGTGGGACCCAGTCCATTAAACATCCACATAACCTCCATCTAGGTCTGGAGCTCAGGAAAAAAGGAGTTTGAGGGTCAGAAGCATATAATTAGAATCTAAAACTACAGGAAAATAGATTATCTAGAAGCTGAGGCTTGAACCTTAGACTCTTTATATCTGGCTTCTTTTTTTTAGTTGTTGTTGTTGGTTGTGGGGCTTGAACTCTGGGCCTGGGCGCTGTCCCTCAGCTCTTCAGCTCAAGGCAAGTGCTCTACCACTTGAGCTTCAGTGCCACTTCTGGTTTTCCGGTGGTTTATTGGAGAAGAGAGTCTTTCCTGCCCAGGCTGGCTTTGATGTGCAATCCTGAGATCTCAGCCTCCTGAGTAGCTAGGATGACAGGCGTGAGCCACAGCCACCCAGGCCTGTTTTCCATTCTTTTGGGTATATGCCAAGTGGAATTGCTAAGTCACGGTAGTTCTATGTTTAACTTCTGAGAAACGACACTGCACAGGCGCTACTTTGTTTGTTTGTTTGGTCCGGTTGTGGGGCCTGAACTCTGGGCCTGGGCGCTGTCCCTCAGCTCTTCAGCTCAAGACTAGCGCTCTACCACTTGAGCCACAGCGCCACTTCCGGTTTTTTCTTTTTTGCTTATGTGGTGCTGAGGAATCAAACCCAGGGCCTCATGCATGCAAGGCAAGCGCTCTACCACTGAGTCACCTTCCCAGCCCCCTACTTTTGTACTTGCAATGTGAAGAGTTCTACTTTTTTAATTTCCTGGAGTACATTTTCTAATTACTTGCTTGCCATTGTTAGTGTGTGTGTGTGTGTGTGTGTGTGTGTGTGTGTGTGTGTGTGTTGTATATTTGTTAGTCCTGGGACTTGAACTTAAGGCCTGGGTAATGTGTGTGTGTGTGTGTATGTGTTGTGTGTATGTTTGTCCTGGGACTTGAACTTTTAAGGCCTGGGTAGTGTGTGTGTGTGTGTGTGTGTGTGTGTGTGTGTGTGTGTGTGTGTGTGTTTGTATATGTTGTGTGTATGTTTGTCCTGGGACTTGAACTTAAGGCCTGGGTACTGGCCCTGAATTGTTTTTGCTCAAGGGTAGCACTCTACTCCACCACTTCTAGCTTTTTTTTTTTTTTGTCGGTCGTGGGGCTTGAACTCTGGGCCTGGGTGCTGTCCCTCAGCTCTTCAGCTCAAGGCGAGCGCTCTACCACTTGAGCTACAGCGCCACTTCCGGTTTTTGGTGGTTTATTGGAGATAGGAGTCTCATGGTCTCTCCTGCCCGGGCTGGCTTTGAACCGCGATCCTCAGATCTCAGCCTCCTGAGTAGCTAGGATTACAGGCGTGAGCCACCAGCGCCCGGCTAGCTTTTTTTTTTTTTTTAATTATTTTTATTTGCAGCTAAGTGGAAATAAGAGTCTGTTGACCTTTCCTGCACAGGCTGGCATTAAACCACAATCTTCAGATCTCAGCCTCCTAAGTAGCTAGATGACAGATGTGAGCCATTGGTGTCCATTATTGTTCAATTTCACACACACATATACACACATACTTTCTTTCTTTTTTTTTTGTCAGTTGTGGGGCTTGATCTCTGGGCTTGGGCGCTGTCCTTGCGCTCTTCAGCTCAAGGCGAACACTCTACCATTTGAGCCACAGCGCCACTTCCAGTTTTCTAGTGGTTTATTGAAGATAGGAGTTTCATGGATTTTCCTGCCCAGGCTGGCTTTGAACCGCGATCCTCAGTTCTCAGCCTCCTGAGTAGCTGGGATGACACGCGTGAGCCACTGGCGCCCAGCTATACTTTCTCTTTTTGACTGCTGACCTGTATCCCAGCCCCGCCCCCCCCCCCCCCCCCCATTTTTGGCAGTACTAGGATGGTTTGAACTGAAGGTGCTTTTCTACTTGAGTCATGCATTTAGCTTTGCTTTTTGCTAGTTGTTTTGAAGATGGAGTCTCATGGACTCTTCTGCCCAGGGTGGCCTTGAATTCCTGGGATTATGAGACTCTGATGCGAAAGCAGGTGCCTCAGGTGAGGAGGTGTATATCTGTATCCCAGCACTCAAGATGTTGAGGCGGGAGGAAAATGAGTTCAAGACTAGCCTAGGCTATATAGGAGATCCTGTTTCAACTCAAAAAGTTAAAACAACAACAAACCACCAGGTGCTGATGACTCATGCATGTAATCCTAGCTACTCAGGAGGCTGAAATCTGAGGACTGTAATCTGAAGCTAGTCTAGCAGGAAAGTCCATGAGACTCTGATCTCCAATTAACTACCAAGAATCCAGAACTGGAGCTATGGCTCAAGTGGTAGAGTACCAGTTTTGAGAGAAAAAGCTCAGGGACAGCACCCGGGCCATGAATTCATGAGTTCCTGAATATTGACACAAAAAAGAAAGAAAGAAAAATAAAAAGAGGTTCCGAGGGGTTTAATGACTTCCCCAAGTCAGGTGTTATAGGAACGCAGATCTGTTAGATTCCCAGGTAGTGTCCCTTCCATTGTGTCTCATAGCCTTTCAAGCTGTCACGGCAAGAAGGGTGGAGAGAGACTGGGCTTGGACTGGCTGGGGAGGAGGTAGGCAGAGCATTTTCCCACCATCTTGGCCCTGTTTGGCCAGTGAGACCCGCCTGGTGGAGGTGCTGGAGGGGGTGTGCGGCAAATCGGACTTTGAGTGCCACCGCCTGCTGGAGCTGAGCGAGGAGCTGGTGGAGAGCTGGTGGTTTCACAGGTGAGTGGCATGGTGGCGGGAAGGGGGCTCAGTGGTAGAGCGCTTGCCTAGCATACAGGGAGCCCTGGGTTCCATTCCTCAGCACCACATACACAGAAAAAGCCCCAAATAGTGCTGTGGCTCAAGTGGTAGAGTGCTAGCCTTGAGCAAAAGAAGCTCAGGGACAGTGCCCAGGCCCTGAGTTCAAGTCCCAGGACTGATAAGAAAAAAAACAAACACAAAACAAGTGAGTGGTGTGGCAGTCTTCTGGGGACCTGGTGGTGGTAGGGCTCCGGCTTGGCTAAGGAGCGCCTTGCTGGCAGAGGGACCCTGTCCCGGCAAGCGCCTTGCTCGGGTGGCTTCCTGGGATGCACGCCCAAGATGGGCTGCTCTGTGGGAGGCAGCGGGAGGCCCACGGACACTGCCTCAGTGGCCTTCCCTTTCTACCCACCCCTGCCCTGGCCTCAGGCAACACGAAGCCCCGGACCTCTTCCTGTGGCTCTGCTCAGATGCCCTGAAGCTCTGCTGCCCCTCGGGTTCTTTCGGGCCCTCCTGCCTGCGTGAGTGCTTCACCTTCCTCGTGGGGGGGGGGGGGGGCTCCAGTTCTGCCCTCCCTGGCTGTGTGAGGACAGGCTACCCTCGGAACCTCTCAGGACCTGGGTTCTTGGCTGCCTCCCAGGTGGAGATGAGCAAACCCGGGGGAGAGACAGAAAGGCACTGGGGACACAGCTTGTCAAGAGGCAGGTGTCAAGTGTCATGTAGTAGACAAACGCTGACACCCTCACCTTCATTTCCTGGGCCAGACAAACTGTCACCTTCCTGGGGAGGAACAGGGGCTGCTCTGAGGCCCCAGTGTTCCCCCCCTCCCCCAGTTCTCAGGCTGGGGCTCAACTTTAGAACAGTCTCTCTTACAGCCACAGATAAAGAGTCAGTGACTGAGAGAGGGTCAGTTCAGTCTTTAGAAAAGATTAATTAGGCATACCTGTAATCCCAGCACTCAGGAGGCAGAGGCAGAAGGATTGTGAGCCTGAGGCCATTTCTACTTAGTAAGGCCCTGTCTGGGAAGGAAGGGAAAGAGGAAGGAAGAAAGAAGGAAGGAGTAAGGCAGGGGAGGAAGGAAGTCTGTAATCGCATGTGGAAGGTAGAGATTGAGGCTGAAGGTTTGAGACTGGCCTGGGTGATAAAGACCAGGCTGGGTGTGATGGCACAGCCTGCAATGCCAGCTGTGTGGGAGGTGGGTCTTGGTTCTAGGTCAGCTCTTGGCAAAAAGTGGGAGACTACCTGAAAAATAAACTAAATGGTTCAAATAGAAGCCTTGTCCTGTGAGCCCAAGGACCTGAGTTCAATCCCTGCTACGACTGAAGAAAGAAAAGAAACAAAAGATTTATAAACTACCCGATTGCTCCACAATGGGGTGTTTACTACATAAACTTCAAATAGTTCTACAACGAAGTATGCGGACACGAAAATGAATATGAATCTGCAGCTCATTTCTCTTTTTTTTTTTTGTCGGTCGTGAGGCTTGAACTCTGGGCCTGGGCGCTGTCCCTCAGCTCTTCAGCTCAAGGCGAGCCCTCTACCACTTGAGCTACAGCGCCACTTCCGGTTTTCTGGTGGTTTATTGGAGATAGGAGTCTCACAGTCTCTCCTGCTCGAGCTGGCTTTGAACCGTGATCCTCAGATCTCAGCCTCCTGAGTAGCCAGGATTACAGGCGTGAGCCACCAGCGCCGGGCTGCAGCTCATTTCTCTTACGAGCCAATTTATACCCAAATGAGGTCTCACCCAGTTGGTGTCTGTCCACAGCGTGTCCTGGGGGCACAGAGAGGCCCTGCGGCGGCTACGGGCAGTGTGAAGGGGAAGGGACGCGAGGGGGCAGCGGGCACTGTGACTGCCAGGCCGGCTACGCGGGGGAGGCCTGCGGCCAGTGTGGCCTCGGCTACTTTGAGGCAGAGCGCAATGCCAGCCATCTGGTATGTTCGGGTAGGTAGCCTGAAGGTGCGGTGCAGGGGAGGGGCAGGAGGGGCGCTGCCTGCCTGTCCTCATGCTGACCCCCTTCCACCCAGCATGCTTTGGCCCCTGCGCCCGCTGCTCGGGACCCGAGGAATCCAACTGTTTGCAGTGCAAGAAGGGCTGGGCCCTGCACCACCTCAAGTGTATAGGTGAGTGGGCCCCCCCTGGGCTCCCCCCTTCCCCCTACCTGGGCTCCCCCCTCCCCCCCTAAGGGGCCCGCGACATGGGGCGCTCGGCCTGGCCTGGAGGGCAGAAAAGTAGCCGAGCACTCAGGGCAGACCTAGCTGTGTGCAGTCAGCCGGAGTACGGTGCGGGGCCCGGGAAGGCTCCCGAGGAGGTGACGAGCATCAAGGGTGAGCCAGAGGCTTGAGCGCTAAACTCGGGTCAGGACACCTGGCTTGGCATGTGGCTTGGTCCTTGTGTGACCACTTAGGACAAAGCCGCTGTGACAGAAAGATCTCACAAGACGGTGACGGAAAGACCGGAGAGTTTCTTTCTATCGCATTCCTAGTGAGCCGCCCAGGCTGCGAAACAGCTCCGCTGGCCGGTCACTGGGCACCGGGCCGCTTGGTCGCCCCCGGGCAGCCTTGCTCTGCCTCCGCTGCTGAGTCAGGGCCACCTCCCAGCACTCAGGAAGCGAGACGGGGAGGCTGCTTTAGCGCCAGGCTGGAGGAGGCGCTAACACTCGCCTACATCCTGTCGGGCAGAGCTCCAGTCCCAGTTCTCTCCCACCTCCGCCACACGGTGATCCTAGGATGCTGGAGTGGCCCCGGTGTCCAGCTGGTTAGATCGGGACTGACCCCCCCCCCGCACCCCTCCCTCAGACATTGACGAGTGCGGCACAGAGCGAGCCAGCTGTGGGGCGGACCAGTTCTGCGTGAACACGGACGGCTCCTACGAGTGTCGCGGTCAGTGTCCACTCTTGCAGGGGTGGGTGGGGAGGGGCCGCCTCACAGTGTCCCTCCAAACTTGTGCCCTCTCAGGCTCCAGAGCCTCTTCCGGAGCCAGCCTGACTCCCTCACCCCTGCCCTCATGTCTCCCTTCTGCAGACTGTGCCAAGGCCTGCCTGGGCTGCATGGGGGCGGGGCCCGGCCGCTGCAAGAAGTGCAGCCCTGGCTACCAGCAGGTGGGCTCCAAGTGTCTCGGTGAGTCTTCCGGCAAAGGCCACAGGCATCCTGAGGAGTTGCGTGGGGCTGGAGCACTGGCAGGGCAGGGGGAGCAGGGGGGCCATGTTGGCAGGGGAGGGGAAGAGGGAGCGGCAGGATATGAACAGGCTGGGTCAGCACTCCGACCTGTCCTCACATCTCCCCAGATGTAGATGAGTGCGAAGCCGCTGTGTGTCCAGGAGAGAACGAGAAGTGTGAGAACATGGAGGGGGGTTACCGCTGCACCTGTGCGGAGGGCTTCGAGCAGCTGGAGGGCGCGTGCGTGAAGGAGGAGGTCCCAGGTGAGTGACGGCCTCCTCCACACAGCCCCCAAGCAATCGCACGGGGACCGGGCCCTGTGTCCGCGCTCAGCCCCCGGCTCCGGGGTGAGAGAATCACACTTGGCATCAAGCCAGTCTGCCCCCCAAAGCCTGTTTCCTCAGCTGTGGATGACCCCGTCCTTGCACTGGCCCCAGGGGACTGCTCTCGACCACGGGTGCCGTGCCTAGTGTGGCCGCATGCACATTCGGTACCCAGTGCCGGACTGGAAACAAGCCGATGCTGCAGGTGTGCTCTTCCCATCCCGCCTCACTCATCTGCAAACCAAGAGGCAGAGCAGCACAGCGCCTTGCCCAGGGCCGCAGGGCCAGCACTTGCTGGCCGGCTGGGTGGGCACCAGGCGGCCTGACTGGAGCTGGATGGGTTCTGAAGTACGTGCTGTGCCCCTGCGCGCGCTCCGGCAGGCTCTCACCCGCCCCGGCGCTGTCCCGCTTCCATTTAGTGACGCAGGGTCAGCAGCTGCCCTGTGGAGTTGTGAGCCTGGCGCACCGGGCAGCTGGGGCGAGCAGGTGTGAGCACGGTCGTGGGCCCAGGGGTGTGGTGGGGGTGACGGCTCCGCGTCCCCTCCGCAGAGTCGGCGGGCTTCTTCGCGGAGATGACAGAGGACGAGCTGGTGGTGCTGCAGCAGATGCTCTTCGGGGTGATCATCTGTGCGCTGGCCACGCTCGCCGCCAAGGGGGACCTGGTGTTCACCGCCATCTTCATCGGGGCCGTGGCAGCCATGACGGGGTACTGGCTGTCGGAGCGCAGCGACCGTGTGCTGGAGGGCTTCATCAAGGGCAGATAATTCCCGCTGCCCCGGGGGATGGCCTCCCACCCACCCAGGCTGCCCCACGGGCAGGCCTCTCTTGGTGGACACTCGGGACAGCTTGGTTTCTGAGAGCGGGGTGAGCACCCCATCCCTACCCGCCTTAAGGAGCAGCGCAGACAACCTCATCCTGGGCAGCTGTGGCTCTCGGGTGAAGAAGTATCTGGAAGCGGAAAGCCGCGAGATCTCTGCCTGGGGGAGGGGACTGGCCGGCTCACGGTCTGCGTGTGTGCGTCCTCAAAGCGTCTCCTGTGGCGACTGCTAGTGAGCTCTGGCCCCTGCCCAGGACCAAAGGGGCCCCCACAGGGGCAAGGCCACCCCAGCCCTTCCTGCCAGTTGCATGCTGCCAGCTCCTGGTCTGTATTCACCCCGTCCCTTCAGCCACTGACGTATTTATTCATCTCAGGAAATAAAGGTCTTAGAAACTGGAGGAGCTTCCGTCTTCATACCTGTCTACCACCATCACTGCCAACATGGAGAAGTGTTCTAAAACACTGGTAAAGTGAAAGCGTCTCTGATGAAGTAGACAGAAAGAGGGAAGACGGGCCCAGAAGAAGAGTTAGAAGGGAGGTAGAGGCAGGCACTGGTTGCTCACACTTGTAATCCTAGCTACTCAGGATGCCGAGTTCTACAGACTGTGGTTTTTAAGCCAGCCCAGGCAGGAAAGTGTGAGACTCATCTCTAACCATCAAAAAGCAGGAGGTGGGCTGGGAATGTGGCTTAGTGGTAGAGTGCTTGCCTGGCATGCATGAAGCCCTGGCTTTGATTCCTCAGTACCACATACACAGACAAAGCTGGAAGTGGTGCTGTGGCTCAAATGGTAGAATGCTAGCCTTGAGCAAATAAGCTCAGGGATAGTTTAAGCCCCATGACTGGCAAAGAAAAAAAAAGTGGTGGAGAGGGGCTCAAGTGGTTTTAGTGCTAGCCTTAAGCAAACAAAGCTAAGGGACAGCTCCTAGGGCCTGAGTTCAAGTTGAGCTTTCTGGGTCATCAGATGATTTTGACTTCAGAAATTCACCTCCTTATCCTAAAATGGACAGAATGAGCTGGGTGCTGGTGGCTCACGCCTGTAATCCTAGCTGCTCAGGAGCCAGCCCCGGCAGGAAAGTCTGTGACACTATCTCCAATAAACCACCAGAAAACCAGAAGTGGTGCCATGGCTGAAGTGGTAGAGCAGTTGCCTTGAGCTGAAGAGTGTGGGACAGCGCCCAGGCCCAGAGTTCACAGAGTTCAAGCCCCATGATGGGGGGGGGGGGGGGGGGAGGGGAAAGGAGACAGAATGTTCTCCCCTCAGGCTCAGAGTTGGCTTCACATTGGGGCTGAAGACCCTGAACCACAGTTATAACCAAAGCAAGTATCCCTCTGAAAGGCCTCCAGGCTCAGGCCTGAGTTACTGTGGGGAGAGGCCGCCTTGCCCTGCTCTGGTTGGGTACAGGACGCTGGCTCAGAGCTGTGGGCCAAATCTTAAACATTTATTTCTTTGGCACAAAAAGGACAGCCAATCTGGACAAGGAGGCTCATTCCCACTGGAGGACGCTGGGACTCCCGGTCCCTGTCCCCCATGCTCAAGTCCATGCACATCCACCCTGTATTCCGTGAGAGTCACGGCCTCTGTGCAAAATTCCTGCTGGGGAAAAATATAGATATTAAAAACACAAAAAAACAGGGTGTGAGGGGGCTCGTGGTGAGTTCACGTCGGGCTGCAGTCAGGCGGAGAGCCAGAAGGCCCCGCTGATCGCCAGTGTCCTGGAGCCGGCCATTCCGGGCGGGCACAGAAGAGGAGGGGTGCGGGCCCTGCGGGAGGCCGCTCAGGGCCGGAGGACGGCGGCCAGGCCCTGCGGGAGGCCGCTCAGGGCCCGAGGACGGCGGCCAGGCCCTGCGGGAGGCCGCTCAGGGCCCGAGGACGGCGGCCAGGCCCTGCGGGAGGCCGCTCAGGGCCGGAGGGGCGGCCAGGCGCCGCAGGGACGCCGCTCAGAGCTCGATGGTGTCGCTGGAGGCGCTGCGCGAGTCCCCGGGTTTGCAGCGCGGCTGGGCCCGGCCCTGGGGCTCCTGGGGCTCCCGGGGCTCCCGGGGCCCAGCCGGGGCGGGCGCTGGGGTGGGTGCCGGCAGTAGCTGCACCGTGCTGGGCAGTTCGTCTAGAGGCAGACTGTCCACCGACGACAGCCCGTGGCGCCACGGGTTCCAGCTGATCTTGAGGGAGCCCCGGGAGTAGCTGTCGAGCGAGCTGCCGGAGCACGCGGCCGTCCGCTCGGTCTCGTCCGCCACGTGCTGCGGCACGGGCCCGCGCACGCGCACATCGCTGAGCGAGCGGCAGCGTCCGCGCAGGCGCAGAGGACCGGCGCCCTCGAGGTCGGCGTCGGGGTGGCTGCCCCGGCGCGGCCGCAGCGCGCCCCCCGGCGGCGGGGAGGCCAGGCCGCGCAGGCCGCAGCGCCGGAACACGCTGTCTCGCACCAGGTGCTCGCGGAAGAGCGCCGCGTCGATGCTGCGGCTCAGGTTGATGGGCGACGGCGGCCGCAGGTCCAGCTCGCTCAGCGACGGCGCCGGCCCCACGCTGCCGCGGGACAGGCCCGGGCCCCCCGGGCGGCCGCGACCCAGCGATGCGGCCGAGCCCCAGGCACCGGCGCCGGGCGCGGCGGGCGGCCCGGCCTCCGCCGGGTTGCGGATGAGGCTCTTGCTGATGTCCGGGCCGCCCAGGCCGCTGGGCCCCGCGTAGCAGTTGTTGGGTCGCTCGGGCACCTCGCTCTTGCCCGACGGCGCGGGGCAGGCCAGGCGCAGCAGCTTGGCCCAGCACGCGTGCTCGGTGGGCGGCCGGGGCCGCGCGGCGGCCAGCGCGGCCAGCGCCAGCGCCAGCGCCCAGCCGAGCTCCAGCAGGCGCAGCCAGAAGTGCACGCCCCACCAGGCCCAGGAGAAGCGGCCCTCGCGGCCGGGGCCCGGGTACAGCCAGAGCGCGGCCGCCAGCTGCAGGCCGCTGGCCAGCAGCCCCAGCGCGCCGGCCACGGCCAGCAGCCGCGGGCCCGGCCTGGCGTCCCCGCCGCGCGGCCCGGCCAGCAGGCGGCGGCGGCACAGGCACAGCGTGCCCAGCGCCACCGACGCGCCCCACGCGCACGAGAGGCCCTGCGCCAGCAGGTTGAGCAGCGGCCTGGGCGAGAGCAGGTCGGCGGCCAGCAGGGCCGCGCCGTGCACCGACGCCGCGGCCCCCAGCAGCAGCGGCCGGCGCAGCGCCGGCGGCAGCCCCGCGCCCAGGCCCAGCAGGGCCAGGGCCGCCAGCGCCGTGAGCAGCAACGGGAAGGGCAGGTTGTAGAGCACCAGGCCGGCACGGAGGCCCAGCCGCGCCTGCGAGCCGTACGGATCGGTGAGCATGTACACCGACCGGAGCCCCGACGCCACCAGCACCAGCGCCGCGGCCGCCAGCGCCAGCCGGGGCCCGGCCAGGGCGGCCGCCAGCGTGGCCAGGGCCAGCAGGGCGGGCAGCAGGAAGAGCACCCCCACCCCGTAGACGTGCAGCTCCCAGGAGAAGCTCAGCACCCGCCGGAGGGGCCCCCAGCGCAGCGGTGGCGCCGTGGCATTGGCCGGGGGGCTGGAGGCCGGGGCGGGAGCCGTGGAGCTGGCCGAGGGCTCGGGCTGGAGCGGCTGGCCCAGGGCTCGCTGGGTGGTCACTCGGATGAGGCCGCGGCGAGAGGTCGAGGGGGCCTGGACTGGGGGTGCTGGGGGATGGCTTTGGGGGCGCCCGGGCCACTCCTCGGCTTCGTCTGCAATCACAATGTGGAAACAGGCCTCTGAAATGGGCTGTTTTGTGGTGGGTGAGTTATTTAACTTTCCCAGGCTCATGGGGACATGGGTGCGCCTGTCCACGCTGGGGCTTGAACTCAGGGCCTTAGCTTTTTTGCTCAGGTGGGTGCTGTACTCTTGAGCCACAGTGTTTTATGTTTTGTCTTTACCAGTCCTGGGGCTTGAACTCAAGGCCTAGGCACTGTCCCTGAGCTTCTTTTGCTTAAGACTAGCGCTCTACCACTGAAGCTCGTGTCACTTCCGGCCTTTTCTGTGTATGTGGTACTGAGGAATGGAAGCCAGGGCTTCACACATGCTAGGCGAGCACTCTACCGCTAAGCCATGCTCCCAGGCCCAAGCTACGGTTTCATTCCCAGCTTTTCAGTGGTTAGCTGGAGACAAGACTCACAGACTTTTCTGCCTGAGCTGGTTTCAAATTATGATCCTCAGATCTCAGCCTCCTGCTAGGAAAGATTACAGGCGTGAGCTACTGCTCCTGGCCTAGCCAGTTTTTTTTTTTTTAGCGGCTGTTTTTGTCCATTTACCCCTGGCTCCTCATTCTCCTCTCTATACGTGACAGTTTGGGGTACTGGACAGAACCTCCCCAACACCCCCAGCCATGCCCTCACCTGGCTGCGGTGCCCCCACAGGGCTCTCTGTTCGGTTTGTGGCTGGGTGGGGGTCTGAGAGATGAGGGAGGAGGGACTTGGAGGTGCCTGGGGCCTCCACTGCGCCTCTCACGCGCTGAGGAGAGATGGGGTCCACTCCGTTCATCGGTGCGATTGCTGAAAAGACAGAAGGGATCCCCGTGCCTGGAGTGGCAGTGACGACCCGTGGGCCTCATGGGTCAGAATGAGGAAACTGGGACCCAGAATCCCACAGGCACGCGGCGGCAGCTGCCTGGACCATTTTCCCCTCGCTGGGACACCCACCTGGCTTTGGCTGCCCACTGGGAGCCAGTGAGGCTGGAGATGTGGGCTGGGGTTCCGTGCCGTCCTGAACATCAGAGAGGTCCGGCCGCTTGGGCTGAGGCCCCGGGGAGCTGACTTCCCAGGCCTCTGCAGCTCCACCCGTTTTGGGGGGCTCAAGGGGCAGCTCCTCAGCAGGAGGAAGGCTTCTTGCCAACGCCAGGTCTGGCTGGGCCCCAGGCCCCTGAGGGGGCATCATCTCAACTGGGGGTGCTGGATCCTGCTGCGTGGAGAGGGGAGGTTGGGCTGCCTCCTGGAAGTCCTCCTCATGCCCACCCTGTTCCCCCGGCACTGGCCACCTGGCCCCGGGCGGTGCCCGTGGAGCCCCGGCCTTGGCCTTCAGACGCTCATCTCTTGGAGGGTGCTGTTCCACTGGGCCGCCAGGCTCCTGTGTGAAGGGAGCAGCTGTGGGCACCCTGAACAGAGGCGTGGAGTTTGTGGGGATAAAGGCAGGGTGTGGGGGGGCCAGCAGGAGGGACACCTGGGCTGCGGCTTCCAGAGGCTCCTGTGAGTCAGGGTGTCCAGTCCAGCCCTGGGAGCTGGGACCCCGAGGCAGCTGGAGGTCATCGGGTGCAGGGAGCCGTTCTCCCCAGGCCCTGTGGGCTGCCTTGGGTCCATGCAGGGCTGGGCTCAGGGGAGGGTCTGCAGGCCTCTTGGGGCCTTCCGTGGGCATCTGGGGGCTGTCTGAATGCCAGATGCTCTCATCTCTGGCGTTCCGGTCATGATCCTGAGGCCCGGATGGGATCAGGTAGAACTGTGAGTCCTCGAGTGGCCCGCGAAGGTCCCTGCCCAGGGCTGGGCCAGCCCCCAGGGACCGGAGCAGCAACAGCAGCAGGAGACTTGGTGGGCTGGGGGCCATGGCGCGCTCCGATTCCTAGGCGTGGAGCCCTCAACTGCCGGTCCTCACTGGTGAGTCTAAAGAAGAGGGGAGACATGTGAAGGTTGGGTTTTTCATGGTCTCCCAAGGGGCTAGAAGAGAAATAGGCAGCTGCCCTCTGCCGCTCTAAAAACTTCTATTCATTTGCTTACTTATTTGTGGTCGTTCGTGGGGCCTGAACTCTGGGCCTGGGCGCTGCCCCTCAGCTCTTCAGTTCAAGGTTAGTGCTCTACCACTTGAGCCACAGCGCCACTTCTGTTTTTTTCTGCTTATCTGGTGCTGAGGAATCAAACCCAGGGCCTCATGCATGCACGGCCAAGCATTCTACCGCTGAGCCACCTTCCCAGCCCCACTAAAAACGTTTTAAATGGAACCTCTAGCTGGGCGCTGGTGGCTCATGCTTGTAAGCCTAGCTACTCAGGAGGCTGAGATCTGAGGATCACGGTTCAAAGCCAGCCCAGGCAGGAAAGCCCATGAGACTCTTATTTCCAATTAGCCACTAGAAAACTGGAAGTGGAGCTGTGGCTCAAAGTGGTAGAGCCCTACCTAGCCTTGAGCAAGAATTGCTCAGAACAGCATGCAGGCTTTGAGTTCAAGCCCCATGAGTTACCAAAAAAAACCACACGCAAACCAAACAACAACAGAATCTCTCTGTGGTCATGAGACTTACCCTGCTTCAAAACCTCCCATGGGCCCTGGCTGCCTTTGGAGAGAACACGGTCCCCTCTCCTGGCCGCGCAGGCTGCTCACCTGAGCGCCCCCCACGCCCCTGCTCCCGCATTGCGCTTCTTCCCCTCTGCTTGCAAAGCCGCTCCTTTCGCCGTCACTGGCTGAAGCCTGATTTCTGGAGGGCCAGCTCCAGAGTGGGAGGTGGGCGGGAAGAGGACCGCGGTCCTCCCACGAGGGCCAGGCTCCCTACAGCAGCCTGGTAGGGTTTAGGGTCCTTCACTTTTCTTTTGCTCCATAAAGCTCTCCTTCTCCTTCCCCTTAACCATTTCAGCAAATAAACCGAACTCTGTGTGGGTAAAATGAGGAACACAAGGTGGGCACCCATGGCTCATGCCTGTAATCCTAGCTACTCAGGAGGCTGAGATGTGAGGATCGAGATTCGAAGCCAGCCCGGGCAAGAAAGTCCGTGAGACTCTTATCTTCAATAAACTACTCAAAAAAGCCAGAAGTGGCGCTGTGGTTCAAGAGGTAGAGCGCTTGCCTTGAGCAAGAGCAGCTCAGGGACAGCGCCCAGGCCCAGAGTTCAAGCCCTAGGACCTGCAAAAACAAAAAACAAAAAAACACACCAAGACCAGATGCCCCCACGGAGTTGGCTTTCTATTCTAGATGAGACAGAGAAAGTAATTCTAGATAAGATACGCTGTGAAGAGAGTAAATCTGGTTAGGAGCTATTTCCCGGGTGCCAGGGGGCCTCTCTGAGGAGACATTTAAGTAAACGCTGCCTGGCCAGGAGGAGCCTGGCCTAGGACGAGCTGAGTTTGGAAAAGCAAGTGCAAAGGCCCTAGAGCAGGAATGCGCTAAAGGAGCCCGGGGAGCAGCCCTCGGTGGCTGGAATTCCACCGGTGAAGGACAGTCTCAGAAGAAGGTGAAGTCAGGGAGGCCCGGGCTGATCAAAGGGGCCTGCAGGCCACCTGCCTTCAGAGTTTCCAGAGGGAAGGGAGGCCCGTGCGCCCAGCCAGGTAGTGATGGCCTCGGGCTCCTCTCCTCCGGGAAGCCGGTCCTGGCTGCCCCTGGGCCGGGCAGATCCTCCCCAGGCCCCGCTCCCCAGGCCCCGCTCCCCGAGGCCCTCCCTAAGTAGGCCAGGGAGGCAGCTGGGGCCAGCGCCTAGGCCCCGCGGCCGTGGCCGGGCGAGCTGGGGTCCGGCTGTGTTCGGGTCCCAGATCTTGCTCTTCTGTCCTGGGCAGCCACCGTCCCCAGTGCTCCCGGCCTCCTGGCCTGCTCCCGGCCCATGCTGCGGGCTGGGCACCCAGGAAGAAGCTTCAGTTCCAAATGGGGGTGCCTGGAGCCCCGACACAGCAGCCGGCTACTGACAGTGCCCTGGGTGCCGCCCTCACCCTCTCCGACGAGCCGGTGTGAGTGCACCCAGCGCGGGCTTGGCACCCGGTTCAGAGAGGTTGAGCAACTTGTCCAAGGTCACACAGCCAGCTGAGTGCACGCATGCACGGCTAGCAGCTCCCTCCGAGAAGCAAAGCACGGAGAAGGCTTAAGTCATCGCAGAGAATAACAACCATCGGCCTGCCACCCCCGCCCCATCCAAGGGAGGGGGCGCCTGCAGGCGCCCGCGCCCGGCTTTGGGGTGCGGGGGCTGGGTGGATAGAGGGGAGAGACCTTGCGGCGGGGCGGGGGCAGGGTGCGGGCCGCCGCAGGGCAGCCTGCAGGAGCCGGCCCGGCTCGGGTTACCTCTTCCCCGGCCTCCTCTCGGCCTGGCTCCGCGCCTTCCCGCAGTGTCCGGGCGGGGGTGGGCGCCGCCGCCCCCGGGAGCCCCGCCGCCGCCCGCGGGAGCCCCGCCGCCGCCTGCGCCCCGCGCCCGCGCCCGCGCCCCTCCCCGGCCGGCGGGCCGCTCACCTGCGCCCGCGCCCGCAGCCGCTCGCCCGGCGCGCGCCGCCCGCACCGCAGCCCGGGATGCTCGGGCCCCGCGCTGCGGACGCGGTGGCTCGCGGGCCCGCCCACCGCCAGCCGTTAACCCTTTCCCCAGGCGGCGGCCGCCGACGCTGGCGCGGGAGCCGCGGCCGGCGGAGGGCGTGCGGGCCGGGGCCTCGCGGGGTCCGTCCCCGCCTGCGCGCCCAGGGGCCGGGGAGGTCCGGGGCCCGCGCCCGTCCCCGCCTGCGCGCCCAGGGGCCGGGGGCCAGGGTGCCAGGGGCCCAGGCCCGTCCCCGCCTGCGCGCCCAGGGGCCGGGGGCCGGGGCGACGGGGGCCGGGGGCCGGGGCCTCGCGGGGTCCGGCCCCGCCTGCCGCCCATGGGTCCGGGGGCGGGGGAACCGCGGTCCGGGAGGGGGCCGGGGGGGGGACCGTGGACCGGAGTGGGGGAGTCCGGGGCCCGGAGGGGGGGTCCGGGGCCCGGAGCGGGGGCCTCCCGGTGCACCTGTTGTTTGGGTTTTAGCGTGAGCCTGTGCCAGCCCTGGGGCTCGAACTCAGCGCTGTCCCTGAGCTTTTCTGCTGAAGGCTGGTGCTCCACCATTTGAGCCACAGCCCCACCTCCAGCTCTTTTTTTCTGCGGGTTAATTGTTGGTAAGAGTCTCATAGCCTTTCCTGCCGGGGCTGGCTTCGAACCTTGATCCTCAGAGGTGAGCCTCTCCGGTAGCTAGGATCAGAAGTGTGGGCCACCAGCAGCCGGTTCTTCCAGATCGCGCGCGCGCGCGTGTGTGTGTGTGTGTGTGTGTGTGTGTGTGTGTGTGTGTCCTGGGGGATTGGACTCTGGGTCTTGGGGCTGTCCCCAAGTTTTTGTGCTCAAGGCTAGTGCTCTGCCAATCAAGTCTGTAAAACACCTGTAATCACAGCTGAGACCCGAGGATCACCGTTCAAAGCCAGTCTGGGCAAGAAAGTTGTGAGACTCCTATCTCCAATTAACCACCAAGAAAGCTGGTCGTGAGGCTGTGGCTCAAGTGGTAGAGTGCCAGCCTTGAGTGTAAAAGCTCAGGGACAACGCCCAGACCCTGAGTTCAAGCCCCATGACAGTCACTTTAAAAAGAAAAAAAGAGCTGGCTGGGAAGGTGGCTCAGTGGTAGAGCGCTTGCCTTGCATGCCTGAGGCCCTGGGTTTGATTCCTCAGCACCACATACATACACAGAAAAAGCTAGAAGTGGTGCTGTGGCCTAAGTGGTAGAGCGCTAGCCTTGAGCTGAAGAGCTGAGGGACAGCGCCCAGGCCCAGAGTTCAGACCCCACAACTGGCAAAAAAGAAAAAAGGATAATAAAAATATTTTAAACCTCCATACATGTGCATACAGATTTTCTTTTTTTTTTTGGTCGGTCGTGGGGCCTGAACTCTGGGCCTGGGCGCTGTCCCTCAGCTCTTCAGCTCAAGGCAAGCACTCTACCACTTGAGCTACACCGCCACTTCCGGTTTTCTGGTGGTTTATTGGAGATAGGAGTCTCACGGTCTCTCCTGCCTGGGCTGGCTTTGAACCGCGATCCTCAGATCTCAGCCTCCTGAGTAGCTAGGATTACAGGCATGAGCCACCAGCGCCCGGCACAGATTTTCTTTTCACATAACTAGGACCACGTGGCTCGTATTATTCTATAATTATTCTATAATACTATTTTCATTTGCACAATGGGTTAGGAGTTTTTTGAAGGCAGTAAGCATCTGCTCCGCCCTCTTCTTTCAACTAGCTGCACAGTGTTGCTGAGCTGCTGTTCCCTCAGAGACCCCGCCCCCACCTCCAGCCCTGCAGATGGGCCATCAGGTGCTTGGATCTGCTCTGCAGCAAGTTAGCTCATTTAAGCAGATACTGCAGCGAGCCTCCTAACCCGGAAGGCGTGCGTCCTCACGTGCTGATAGCCCTGTCCTCTCAGATCTCTTCCTAATACCCACACAACTGTGCTGCACCTGAGGATGGGGAGGTAAATAGTGGTTGATAGGATTTTTGCCTAATTATGATTTTTTTTATATTTTCTAGTACTCTAAACTCCTTAACATTGCTTTTATGATCAGAAGGATGATAAAGATCTCTTGAGAAAAAGAGATTTGAAGATTGCAGTTTGAAGCCAGCCTGGGGGAAAAGTCTGTGAGACTTTTTTTTTTTTTTTTCAGTTCCGGGGCTTAAACTTGGGGCCTGGGCGCTGTCCCTGAGCTGCTTTTGCTCAAGGCCAGCACTCTACCCCTTGAGCCACAGCACCATTTCTGGCTTTTTCTGTATATGTGGTGCTGAGGAATCAGACTCAGGGCTTCATGCATGCTAGGCAAGCACTCTACCACTAGGCCACATTCCTAGCCCTCCGTGAGACTTTTATCTCCAATAAACCATTCAGAAA